GAATAAATCACGGGTTCTAAATTGAACGTGGTAAAATCCAGTGAGTTTTCCTAATTGTATGTTACATACATATATATATATATATAGTGACCGCGTCAAATTTAAAACAGTATATTTTTTTGTAATTGAAATAGCCACTCCGTTTATACAAGTATAGGTATCACTTATGCTATGCTATGCTATGATGGTGACTAAGATGTCATGCTTCGTACCCTGTAATTTTACTGTCCTGGCAGACTATGTCGGATGAACAAGAATATCTATAATTGTTTTGAAATTGGTAATCTCAAATAAACCTACCTACTACCCACTTTCTCTAGATCTATACATATAAATGAAATTGAATTGTTTGTAAGCAATTTCAAATTAACAACTTTCATTAAATGCATATGAAAGTATTATATTTATATGGTAACTAAATAAAAAAATATTTAAAAAAATGTCATTCAGTTTGTTCTAACCTCTGAATCTGCTGGATTCGGAGATTATATTTTACGGGACTATTACTTGCAGATAGCCAATGTTATAAGAAGTAACTTAGGCTACTTTAATTTTAGAAAATTTATTATTAAAAAACAAATCACGCCGACTACGTAACGGCTGGTCAATTCCTAAAATTGGTGCCAGATTTGTACAAAAACAATTGTACAAAAAAAGTTGCGACCAACTCTTCTTTTTCAGAAGTCGGTTAACATCATCCACGTGGTGATCACGTCAATAACCCAGCAGTAGGTAATGCCCGCGTGCCAGTGTAAGAGATCGAGGTCTCTATGCCAGACGAGAAAGGAGAGGGCATTGACCGCGGTGATATAATGCACTGATTTCGGCAGGTGTAATCAGTCTGACATTCTTATATATATAACGTAAAAACTAGATAAATCGGCAAACATTGCTTGTTAATTAATATCGCTGTTAAAAATTCGGGGTTGTTCGTAGAAAAATAGGGGTTGGTAGAAGGATGGAAATGTAGGATTACATGTAGTTTTTAATGTCGACTCATTAAAGAAGAGAATAGAAGTATTATTATTCAAATAAACTTTATACAAGTAATTTTGAAGTTATATATTTTTTACTCAATTCGTCATTATTAACCTTGAACGATGAGACTTTTTTTTCTTAAAGCTTATTAAAATATTTATACGTATGTATTAAATAATCAAAAATGCTATCCCAGGTCATTATTTCACGCGGACGAAGTCGCAGGCACAGCTAGTCAGGAATATTTAATAATGTCGCTAACACTCACTCAAAGAAATGAGTTTTGCAAACTATTTTGCCCCGAACCCTTATCGCTTAAAGGTATAAAAAATGGATAACAACCTATTCCCAGACCTACCAACTATATATTTAAATTTCATCATAATCGATTAAGCCGCTACGGAGATGTATGTCAACTGACACTGTGACACCAAAATATTATATATATAAGATAAAAATATCACATAACGATGTTTAATTGGACAAACTACTTAACCAATTTTCATGAAATTCTACTTATTTTTTATGTAATCATAATGACAAACAAGATGGTAAGTGGTTACCGTCGTGTATATATGTATATACATATACACACAGTATAGCAGCCCACCCCGACTTCGCATAGACATTACTTTTCTGTTTGTCTACACTATATTTATTTATTTAATTCAGACTACATGGCCCATATTATAAATACCTTATAGATTAACATACATAAGAAATAATAATAAAATATGTAAATAAAATTGTCTCTATGGTAATGGCACTGACGACGGCAATCTGCCACGGTAGCGCCGTATATATACTATAACCTGCATATACTATAACATGCATGTATTATATATGCAAACCTTGCTCTTGAATCATTTTATCTATTGCTGAAAACTGCATTAAAATCCGTTGCGTCACTTAAAAGATCCAAGCGTAGAAACAGACAGAACAACTTTGTTTTATACTATGCGACGGCGAACAGAACTTCGAGATCATCTAATAATTTGACGGCCGTGATACCATTTCAGAGGACTAAGATGTCATGTCTGTAACCCGCGCTTTATGCCCAATTTACACTCAGTCCGAGTGGGCAGGGAAGTGAGCAGCGCGAGAGTGTAAACATGAGTGGAAACACTTCCCATGCCATTGGCGCTGCCACTCGTACTGCTGCTGGCGCTCCCTCGATTGTCGGTTTTTCGTGCGCGAGTCAAAGGACTGGCAGCGCGAGTGGCAGCGTGTTTTTACATTCAGCTCTCTCGCTCAGTTGTCGCCCGGTAATATTTCCAACAGCGCGAGTGGCAGGGGAAGCGGCTGAATGTAAACGTAGCATAGATAGAGATAATGAACAATATCAGAAATGATATTGATATTTTTGATTGCAGTCTGCCGAAAATCACAGAAGCCATTCAAAAGTATTTATAATTTTTATAATGTTTATACTGTGTAATAAAATATGTCATGTAGTCAATTTATATATACAGGGTGTGTGTATATACAGGGTACTAAGTTGCAACACCGCAACTTGCAATTTGGATATACTGGTTTTTCACGTGTCCATAGACTACTTCGGTAACCATTTACCATCAGATGCTTGTTTGCCACCTACGTGGTATAAAAAAAAAGGGTGTTGTAATATTGAAATGTCTCTTATCCTGTAATTTCACTTGCCAATTTGTCACGATGGGCTAACTGACCTGACCTCATACTCATCTTATCATCTCCAATGGAGCTCCGACAGTGTCAACTGGTAGCGCGGGCGGGTGCAACATTCCATTGTCATCCATTGTAAAAACTTAGTACTTCCTACTAATGGATGACCATTGTAAAAACCGCAATGTTGAAAGTACTACGAGTTACAATGGTCTCGTGAACATAAGACAGTCTAGGTCTTCCCCGGTACTTTAACTACTTTAATGTAACTTCTATATTCGTATTGAACATGTAGTACAGTATTCTAGAAGCGTAGTGAGAACCTTTTGTTCCATTAGGGGGAAAGGTGATTTTTAGCAATGTGGATTGATGACCCCATTGCTAGCAATGTACCCTGTCAGGTTGCAAACCACGCGGTTTCCCCTGGAAACGATCCAGATAAATTTCTGGTAAATTTGTCACAATGTGCTGACCTGACTTTATGTTCATCCTATCATCCTCCACTGGTACCCCGCCAGCGTAAACCGTTAGCGCAGGCGGGTGCAACATTCCATTATAATCTACTAAAAAAAACCCTGTATTCCGGGATTACAGGGAATCCCCTCATGTTACTCAGCTAATACGCTCTGGGCATTTAGATCGGTTAACTATTATAATAGCTTAGGTTCTACACGTACAATACAAAATTAGAATTAAAGTGCACACAATAGAGTCCAATTTACATTTACACTGTTAGAATGACGTAGACAACTAAATATTGGGTACTGGAGGTTTACCGCAACTTCGCTCGGGAATAATACTCTTACATTTGTACACTCGACTTCGTACGCGTGAAATTTCTTTTTTTTTTTTAAATATTATATTAAGAAAATAAACATCTAAGTTACTACATTTACACCGTTAGAATGACGTAGACAACTAAATATTGGGTACTGGACGTCTACCGCAACTTCGCTCGGGAATAATACTCTTCAATATGTACACTCGTCTGTCAATTTTTTTTCAATATTAGAAACAAAATTCCGAAAATAAAATCTAAGTTACTCATTATATTACTTATCTGCAAGTGAAATCCCCGTAAATATCTGTCTAGACGTTTCAGAGATTTAGAGGAATAAACTGAATGTCAGTAACGGTCATTTTTTTGTTATTAGTTTTATGTAGATACCATATACTTTTATACGCATTTAATAAAAAAAAAAATCTGTTAATTCAAAATTCTTTAGGTATTTTATTAGGTAGCACAATTTTTACTAACTTCTATATAGTTGTTGAAACCTACTTTTAAGCATAAAATGCTTGTGCCAGGAGCCTCCACTCTTCCGAAATTACATACAGACATTTCAATTTTATTTATTTGTATAATTATTTCTTCATCTATAGTGGGGACGTACTATAGATGAAGAAAATCTATACCTGTATAATCTATATCCTTTCACTACTCAAAACTCTTATCTTCCAGGTTTTAAGAGCTGGCTTTAAGCTATAAGACCATCTTTTCCTAAGCACATTACAAGCTACACAAGCTATATATGGATTGGTGTCTTATAGAAATGAAGTTGAATAGGTCTCGCAACTGAGTCTTAAAAAAATTTTATATTTTGATTTTGAATATTTTTTTTTCTTTTTCTATCTGCAATCAGCCTTTCCAACTATAATCAGGTTTTGTAATGTTAAAGGCATTAAGAGCTAAGGCACATCATGTGAGGTGCCATCTCAAGTATTTTCTCAGATGCTGGCTAAGCGAGTCCTTTTGAGTCTGCATGGACAGTTATTTGTAACCAGTAGCTTCAAAGCTAACTGGTTCTTATGGCTGGCTAATTTGTGTTAATAACTTCCAGAAGATAGTGTAATTAAAAAAAAATGTATTTCTGGTATTGTACTACTAATATTGATATAATACAAATAAGATTTATGCAACTCATTTTGTGCAACAAAATGATTAATATTCTTAAAATATAAACTCAACAGAATTAATGTATTTCCAGAAATTTGTTCCGCAGCAGTTACTCAACCAAACTTAGTTATTTTTAATATCTACTTTAGTTTTCATTAGAATTTGCGAATAGTCTTGTAAGATTGAAATTCAGAGCCTATTTTTAGAATTACACTCTCACTGCACTTAATGACACAATATTGTGATACATCCTAATTATTTCATAATATTAGTAAGACTAGAGAAATATTTTTTGATAAAGTAAAAAAAATATATTTTTAATAAATATGGATAGTCAAAATTCATAATTGGTGCAGCAGTTGACTAAATATAAATAAAAGTATACACTAATATTCAGGTTCCTTTGAGTCTGAAAAATCTGAAACTGCCTCCTACATGCTGAATTCATGGTGTAAATCTTATAATGAAATATTGCTTTGCTTACCTGTATATCTTGCTAAAGTCATATAAAATGGTAACGCCCCTATGGACGAGAGCTGGCGAATGGGATTAATTGTTGATCCTGGCTTCGAAGAAGCTGGCACCAGGAAAACACGGGCTCGCGACACGCCGGGCGCGCCAACCTGTCACAAATATAATAATACTGCACTACCAAATTGATCATCTACTACTATAACCCAACAATTCAATACATTACTATTAGTTTCACTGCTCTAACCAATTTTTAAACATTAAAATGTACGCACCAGCTGGCAAAAACGTGGTGAGAACAGATTAAACTTGATATACATACGTTAAGTAAATATAGGTTTCAAGATATTCGATATTACGTATGTACCTTCCAATGTCTATGACGAAGAGGAGCAACGTGCGAGAATCCTTTTTTCTGATTATACGAGAAACACAACTATGACACGATACGAAATAACATAAAATAAATGAAGATTTTCATGGAACGAGACACGTTTAACCAGTTAAAATGACGACAGAAAATAAATGAAAATGCACACTTTCTTGTTTCTGGAAATATTTCAAACCGGAAATGAGCAATTTTTTAAACTTACTAACAAGATTGAAACATGTCGCTGATAATGCAAATAATGTTTCAAATTATATTTTATTTCTATTTGTTAAAGCGATAATTACAAAAATTTATAAAAGAATGGCAGTTTCTATAAAGTAAAAATAACTACAAAAACAGTTATTTAAAAGTGGCAGAAGGATATAAACATTATTTTAAACTACTATTGTCTATGGTACGTCTTTCAATCGACTGTTTTGGTCCATTTGTACAGACTTAACCGATATTTAAACTATCGATTAAAAACATTTCAGTGTCTGGCATCATTTGTATCGTCAAATCAAATAATTAATCGGTTCAATAGCCTAATCAAGTTCGTTAACCATATTTTATTAAGATTTAATAATGATTAAAAGATTTTTTTACGTCCAAACGAAGTAGATATTTTTGAGGTAAGGAGTATAAGAATTTGTTAATACTTAAACGTCTACATTTTTTGTTAATAAAAATGATGTACCCTAAATTTTATCAACGATGCTTCTAACGATTGCTTTTTTGAGATAATTAAATTATATGATATCATCAGTCATCTGCAACAAAAAGTAATAGAATTCTTTATTATAAGATCTCATATCATAATTAGTTTCCTTAATTTGTGACTTAGTTTTAAAATTAAATATATCCTATGAAAATTAAAAAATAAGACAGTTTAATAAATATACATGTGTTTTGTTTCCAACTAAGAACAAGATCTTTACTGTAAAATGTCAACTGACCTATTAACACAATGTCACATTTTCTGGACTCTGACTGACACTGACAGTAGGTAGAAATAAAAATATAGAAAGAAATGTCGTCGATGTCGTGCATGACTTAAGTTCTGTTTTTTTTGTATACCATTTTTGGTATATTCTATTAATATACTATTAAAAATAATACTATTATAACAATAAAGTTTATTTCTCCATAATTAAATATGGTACGCATATGAATTTGCCCTACCATAATGATAATTAATTTTAGGTTATGTGTCGTCCTTGTGAATAAAATTGATGAAATATTGTTTTTCAGCATTCATGCCGACAGTTGCTGTATAGTTCTGCGCGATGGAAATGTACTTTGCCGCTCAATATAAAAACTACGGTCCTATCAAAATCAGATCAGGTAACTTAATACAATAAACATTATATCTTTCGAAATAACTTTGTTCTAAGAGTTGGGATAAAAAGTTATATGTATATAAAAGATATATGGCATGTACAAATTTTTGACCTGTTCTTTTTTTCATATATATTTCATATCAATTCTATTTTATCAGTCTAACCTAGTCGCATCTGGATTAGACAAAAACAGTAATATGTTCTAAAAGTAGTAATAACAGCATCTGACTTACATACTATTTATTTTTAATATATGTAGCAAAAACATAGGCATATTTATTTTTTAAATAATAGTCTATGAGTTCATAGACTCTATTATTTGAATAATCATTTTCGGTGAGTTTGAATATTTATATTGTATTTTTAATAAATGTCTGCCTATTGTTTGAATGACTAACTGTAGTAAATAAACAAATATAAATAAAAAGAGTTTATTTATTTATTTAAATCCATCAAGTTTAAATCCTATTCTAGAGCATGGTTTCATAGTACAGTTGTTATGTAATTGATATTTTTCCATACCAACTATATATTATCTTACATACATATTTATATAATAATGTTTAATCCACTATTGTCATTTGTAATTGTGTAATACTATTTACTTCACAGCTTTGTTTGCATGAATTATGATTGTAGTGTTTTATTTTTAGTATCAAAAGTTTAATAATACATTTTTGATATTTAGCAATAATACTTTTTTCCAAAATTTGCTATTTGTTTTCTATTTTAAGTAAGATAGCCTTTGTAGCCATTACTGTTTATTTTTCTAATTATCTATAAACACATACATAATATACATTATTATGTACCTTATAGGTTTTGAAGTTTATGAAAAAAATAATCTTTTTTTTCTAATAGTTCAACATATAATAAGGTCTACTTACTCAGTTTGGGATTAAACACTATAATATGCCTTGGGTTATTATTATTATTATCTAATGAAATAAACATTTGCGAAATAAATTTCAGTTCACCTTACAAGAATGCCGGCATTACTCAGCACGAAAGGGTTTCTTCTCATCCATCATAGAAAACATAAAAGAAGACATGGCTAAGAACAAAGAGATGAAAGAGAACATAAAGAAGTTTAGAGAGGAAGCACAAAAGTTGGAGAACTCTGAAGCTTTACAGGTTCAGTTATAGTTATATTTATTACTAGCTGCACCTGGAACTTCGTCTGCATAGAATTAAACTTTATTTCTCTAAAATAAAATAGCCTAAGTTAGTCCTTATTACATCAGCTACCTGCCAATAATAGTCCTGTCAAAATCTGTCCAGCCATTTCAGAGATTAGCCTGAATAAAACAGACAGACAAAAAGATATTTATATTCATATGCATGTAGTAAAAAACCATTATTTCAATATACATACAGACACTCCAATTTTATTTATTTTTATATACCTTTTGACTGTTCTGTATCACACCTCTCTCAATATATACATCTCTTTTACATATGTTCCCAAATTTCCAGGCGGCGCGGAGAAAGTTCCATGCAGTAGAATCGGAAGCATCTAAAAGTTCAGAAGTATTCAAAGAAACCATTGAAGGCATTAAAGGCAAGATGGAACATGTCATAGAGGAAGCTGGTAAAACAGGAATAGCTAAAAAAGCAGGTATGAATTTCAAGAAGGGTGTTCATCAACAGATGTAGTCAGAAGGTGAAGAACTTTAGTATTAGGAAGATTAGATTAGATAGATGCTGGTATATAGAAATAATAATGATAACCTAGGACAATTTACACAGCGCCATCTAGCCCCAAGCTAAGCAGAGGTTGACTTATTCTATATATACTAACAGAAATGCTTAAGTTATTTTTTTTTGGAAATATAAAATACTAGCTACTCGCCCCGGCTATGCACAGATGTACATGTATTATATACAGAAAGCTTTATCTTAAATGAATGAAATAACACAACACCTGAGATCCGATCAATGTTAAATTTATCAAATTTAACAATTTGTGACCACTTGAAAAGCCTGGGACGTTATAAGTGTTGTTATTCGCCGGTTCCCATCAACCAATGCCTTTATCAGCTTCAACCGGCCTTCCCGAGGGTGGTGCATCTTCGACGTCAAAATTGCTGGATCGAAATTTAGGGAACCAGTTCTGGCACTGGCGTACTGTTACCTTTTCCACACACATCGGTCAATTTCTTACTGGCCAAATGAACAGCATTTTTGCCCTTTCTGTAGTAAAACAGTAAGATATGTCGAAAATGCAGCTTATTCCTCTCCATATTTAAAAGGGCACCAACCAAAAACTACTGCGTAGAATTAATTGTAACTTTTCACACAAGCCTTGCTATATGGGCTCTCTAAGCATATAAAAATTATACGGCTTAAGTGTGAAGTTGAGTGCAAAAATACAATTAAAACCTAAGTTAGGAATAAACGAAATTACTTTCCGAACAACCATTAGGTTGTTCGGAAAGTAATTTTGTTTTTGTTATCTAAATATATATTAATATATTTAGATATATTATTATTTTAAAAAACTATAACCCTACTTATTGTTATTGTGTTGATGTAATAACAGAGTAAAAAGAAAAAGAAAATATTCATTTGTATTTAAATTAATCACTTATATGATGTTTTTCAGGAAAGTTTTCAGAAGATATATCGAAATCTGCCAAAGGTGCAGCCGAGAGTCTAGCGGACAAAAGTCAAAAGCTGGGACAGACGTCAGCCTTCAGAACTATATCTCAAGTGAGTATATAATGTGAGTTAATTTTCTACATTTGAGTTTGATATTAATATTTTATACTAAAATATATACTATAGTGATGATTCTCGAAGTTAGTCTTGAATAGTATTCCAATGTTGACGGCCTCGGCGGTATAACGGTTTAACACACCGATTTAATTCCGATGGTAGTGGGTTCGATTCCTCGCACTGTACAATACATATTGATGAGTATTTTTTAACTTTTTCAGGCTACAGAAGTAGTGAAGAACGAAATATCAGCACGAGGATTGGAAGGTCGTGTGTACACCTCACCGATCTCATTGCGAAAACGTGTTGAGGTAAATATTTAAATAGAAACTTTTGTTTTCTGTATTCATCTTATAATAATTTGAAGACTATGAGCAGATGTAGTAAAAGTTTCGTCAAATCCATATTGGTTATAAAAAATTTTAATAACTTAACGGTATATTTTTATACTAGCTTTTGCACGCGGCTTCGCTCGCGTTAATTATTCCCTTAGGGGTGGAATTTATCAAAATCCTTTCTTAGAGGATGGCTACGTCATAGTAGCTTTATACATGCAAAATCTCAGCCTGATCGGTTTAAAATTGACAAAGTTTCATACAAACTTTCATCCCCTATTTTATCCCCTTGGGGGTAGAATTAATTAAAATCCTAGTCCTAATATCTACCTGAATGCCAAATTTCAGCCCGATCCGTCCAGTGGTTTGGGCTGTGCGTTGATAGATCACTGTGTCAGTCACATTTGAGTTATATATATATTAATACCATGAAAGTATACTAGTTGAGATTTATTTCTTGCCAGTTCCTCTGAACTGAAATAGGTAACTGAACTGGATGGTAATCATACATGAATGGATGAAAAAGAAATGCCGATTATATAAGACTATACTTCTGTTTTTTTTTATTGAATTAATGTATATTTTTATACATAATTTTATAAATAATATTAGCATTCTACACTCTTCTTTATAAACTGTGTGCGAAATTTTATACTCCCCCGTCCGCGCAGTTTTTGTTTTGTATATGTATTAAAGTTATATAAATTTCAAAAGTATAAACTCAGTTTATAGAAAAACCTTTTATGTGTCTGTGTCAGGTGGCGTCGGATGACCGCACGTTCACTCCAGACACGGAGACGGTGGGTGTGGAGCTGCACAGAGACTCTAAGTTCTACCAGCAGTGGGAAGACTTCAAGACCAACAACCAATATGTTAACAAGGTATGTGTGATAAACAAAACAAAAAAATTAACAATAACTCGGTGACTTGGACAACACTTTTTATTACCGTTAACAATTTTTTTGATAATTGATTGACCGTTCACAATTTTTTAAATAGATTATAGTTCTTACCAGTTTTACATCGCGTTACTTCAGGCTTGATCCCTCATACGATGCTAACATTTGTATTCAGGGGGATAGGGATTGTTAGTAATGGGAACTAGTAATACCCATTGCTAGCAATGTACCATATTAGGTCCACCTCCACGCGGTTCCTCCTGGAAACCATCGTGATACATTCTTAGTGAATTTGTCGTTGGGTTAACTGACCTGACCTCATATTCATATTATCATCCTCCACTGGTGCTCCGCCAGTGTTAGCGCTGGCAGGTGCACCATTTCATTATAATGCACAAAAAAAACATTCTTCAATCATTCAAGTCATATTCCCAGACTAAGACAACCATGAAACCGTCCTCGCTTATTAACTAACTAGCGTTAAAGTTACCCGTTATGACCCGTATAGTTGCCCAGGGTACTATTTGGTAACATATATGTTATTAATACTTTCATATTATTATAGGTATTAGATTGGAAAATAAAGTACGAAGAATCCGACAACCCAGTAGTTAAAGCATCTCGATTCGTCACTGAAAAGGTCGGTAATCTATTTGGCAACATATTCGAAAAGACTGAACTATCCAAAACGTTGACAGAAATATGCAAAATAGACCCGAACTTCACCGCGCAGAAGTTTCTAGAAGATTGCTCCAATGACATCATACCGAACATTCTGGAAGCGATGGTACGTGGTGACCTCGATATACTTAAAGACTGGTGTTACGAAGGCGTGTTCAACATTCTAGCGACTCCGATTAAACAATGCAGACAGCTCGGCTACCGTCTCGACTCCAAGATCCTGGATATCGAGCAGATCGAGCTGGTGATGGGCAAAATGATGGACCAAGGTCCCGTGTTAGTTATAACATTCCAATCGCAGCAAATCATGTGCGTTAGAGACGCAAAGAACAACGTCATAGAAGGTGACCCAGATAAGGTCATGAGGGTCAACTACGTTTGGGTCCTATGCAGGGATCCTCAGGAATTGAACCCCAAAGCGGCGTGGAGACTGCTCGAGTTATCAGCAAACAGTGTAGAACAGTTAATATAGGTGTAGTTGTTATATATTTAGATGTGAATTAAATCGTTGACGATTAGATATGGTTTTAGTAGAAATTGGACCCAACCGAGCCCGTAGCGGCTAGAGCAGTACGTCACCGGAAATGGCGTGAGTTATGACGTAATTTTACATGAATTTATGAAATTGTCACGGACGGTAGTCTAATAATGTACTCGAATAATTTATTTACTTTGAAATATGTGAGAGTAAATTAATTTTAGTATGTACATTGAAATATAAGGTCGGTGGTCGTAATGACGATTTTGGAATTATCTAATTGCGTCATAAAGGAAACTATGCGATTGTGACGTCATTGAGTATTTCAGCAAACGTGTTGTTTATATGTGCCCGTTACAGTACAAGTGTTATTTTTGTTATTCTCTAATAAACAAGGACAGCATTTTTACCATTACTTCATCAGGAATTTGTTATTTTTTTAAGTTTTTTTTTATACTCGAAAAACTCTGTAGATACCTGTACTTGTATTGCTTAATGTGTACAAAGAATAATACGACTTATTTTACGTGCGATATGGTACATTTTCATGTTTCAGGGTTTTCCGAGTATGTTTACTCAATTTTATTTTCATTTTATAATTAATTTGTTTTTATTATTTCCTTGTTTTAATAAATGTATTATTTATTATTCGGTTTACTTTCTCATACAGTATATTTTATTTGTATTCAATAAATTGAAGGACATACCATGGTAGATAAATGTTGTAAATGTAAGGACCTAGTTTCGATTCCTGGTTAGACAAATTAAGATTAAAAAAAAGCAAATTTTAAGTGTTTGTCGGATAGAATATTTTTATACATTTAGAGCTGCAATTTTTTTATTCAAATGTTCTTCTAAGGTTTAATCTACCCTAATAATTGGATCTCGCTGTAAAACTCGCTATGCCATACCACAAGTAGTTTTCTGTTAATATCAGGCTTTTAATGGAGTAAGACTTTTTTTCTTTACACCATGCAGTCTTCCAAATTATAAGCAGTTGTGTTATAGACAGTTGTAAAAATAAAAAAAATATATATAAATCATTTTATTGTAGTGTAATCTTTCTACTCTATACTGCAATGTGTGGGAGTGATTTCCTGAAAAAATACGGAAGTGGGAATCGAGAATTGCCGGGGGATGGGAATGCCATTTGATTTTTACTAATGAATGTACAATGGTAGAAATTGTCGTCAGTTGGTACTAATCTTGATTGGACTTGGGAGGAAGGTACCCAGATCTAATATATTACATAAAAATTCAATCATTTATTCATGTAGGACATTTGAACGCCAAGTTTTATTGTATTAATATTTTTTCCCTACCTTCCAGTTCAGTAATACTGGTAAGAAGCTCAACTGTAAGATTATTTTGCGTAATCGTAATGGTAACGAAGCTGACGGTTCACCGGATGGTAATTGTGGCCTATATACATAAACAGCACTACGGCATCACATTATCATGTGACGTTCACGTTACCACTCATGAGTTACCATTCCAAACTATTAAGATATGCCTCTTATGAGAAAATGAAGTGAAATTACAGGATTTCACTCCATTTTCGCATCCTACAAACGCAGTTTACTAAACAAGCTGCTGGGCTGCTGAAATAGGTAAACAGAGCTAACTTTTTTATTATTAATATATTTGCTGGTTAAAAGCAGAGGAAGGCCGAAAAGAGATGGATGGACTGCATGAAATATGTGATAATGAAGGGAGCGAGAACCGGAAGAGAAGAGGTAAGAAGCAGGATGAGTTATCAATCTGCTTAGTTCCAACTCTTTTTGCAGTAAATAAAAGACAGGTTCAGTAAACGTATTTTTTATTAGAGGCACATTTAAAGAGACGGATACATCCATCGTAGAATCAATTTATTTACAGAGCCTACTTTAGTGCTACATTATAATTAAGGAATGACAGTATTTGTTAAATCAACATGAATGAAATTCTACCGGTGACTAGGTTATAAAACAAACCGCGATGTACAAAGGAATTTGTCACGATATATATATACTCGTAATATATATAGAAATATAGCGTGGTTTATGAAATTCTGTTAATATTAATTTTATATAAATATATATATATATATATATATATGCATATTATAATATTGCAAGTTTCTTGCTCGTTCTTGATGAGTCTAGTCTATGCGTTCCGAAAGAGTGGTAGAATAAAAAAACGTAGGACGTAACGGTTTATATACGTTTGACGTTTTTACGAATAACAGCGATAGTTTATTTTAACTCTGAGCAATTCACACAGCGCCATCTAGTCCCAAGCTAAGCAGAACTTGTGTTATATACTGGTAGACCACTGAACATTATTAATGTTAGACTATCAGATATCTAGTTTTATATCAATGTTTGTATGTATATTAACATTATTTCATAAACCACGTGTAATTAATATAAAACTTAACCTCTAAATAACTTAATTTGTAATGTTGACAAATTTAAACTTAAATGATTAGACTACAGATGGAATAGTGCGACGAAAATATTATGCTTAAATACTACATCTAATAAGCTCAATCACGTATGAACAATATTCGCAGTGTTGCAAGTGTAAAATCACAAAAATTGTATTCAGTGTTGCTATACTCTATCTAAGGTGAGAATAATTGGAATTGACAAATTCAAGAATCATATTTTTATAAACATATACAATAAATAATATTCAGTGATTGGTTTATAATATCAAATATTGATAGATTAAACATAATTTTTTATTTAATGTTAAATAAAGTATTTACGAGAAATACTTTATTTTCCATTAACTTTGAATGAGAAAATATAAAGTTTAAGTTTGTTTCATATTAATAAAACATTTCACAACCGTGTTTAAGTTACGGTATCAATAATAATAATAAAAAAACCTATGAATTACTTAAATTACATACACACAATATCATAACAAAATTAAGATTGTACTGTGAACAAAAAATATACTATCTACTAATTATTACCATTCTGTTTTTTTAATGTAAGAGGAATGGAATCCTGACAGCTCACCTGATGGTAAGTGGTAACCGTCGCATATACATGAACAGCACCACGGATATCACGTTATCATGTGACATCCGTGATACCACTCATGCGTTGTCAATCTGGAGGACTAAGACATCATCCTTGATTCGGGAGGATGCTTATATAATGTGTAGGTATAATTTTTAAACAACCGTCAAAAAACTAAAAAAAACGATTATAGAAAATTTAATAAATGAATTATCTGTTTGCAATAATTCAATGCAAATTCAATTTAATCATACAGTCTATGAACATAAAATAATAATATTATTAATGTAAAATTGTACTTTCTGCACTTAAAAATAAAATATATTTCCGTTTGTATTTCAAAGACCGATCCTGCTAAATACGAATTTCAATAAGGCTTCTTAACTAAACATGACTGTATAATCTCGAAAATATATATTAATAATAATATCAAATGATTTTAGAAAATTATCTTATAATTCAATAAATGTAGGCATTATTAGGCTTTTTTTTCTAATTAAGTATGTACTTAGTAATTAATTTTTGTAAAGCAGTATACAAAATTGTTCCTTAACATTTTCAAAATCAGTCACTGAAACTATATTAAAAAAAAACATCGTCCTTATAAGGTAACATTCAGCTATGTTTATGGCAGTATATATACTTTTGTGGAACAAATTTTAAAAAACAATTAAATATTTTAACTTCTTATTTTCTTTTGATAACTGTTAAAAAATCAGGCATTTGTCTACCATATTTGATAATTAGAAAAAAATTGGTTTGATCCAATGTTAGATTACTTTTTTTATTTATTGGCAGCAAATCAAGGCAACAATTTTTATAATTTCTCTTTACTCTAATGATGTAATCGTAATTCCAATTTTTGTCTGGAAGGACATTAGCTTTTGTATTTTCTTTAGTGTCTGTACAGTCCGGCTTTCAATTTCCAAAACTAACCAAGACCTTGGTGAAATCGTCATGATAAAATATCAGAACTTGCTATAGTTCTGCTAAATTTCTCATCAAACATAAATTTCGAAGTTTGATTATGGTAATTGTAATTTTGTCCTGTAATTGCTTTTTTGGACTTGTACTACACTTGTGGGTAGTATATGACTTTTAGTTATATCTGCACACTTGTAAATCATGTATGAAATGTGTTTTTTCAACATAGTACTTTATCAATATATATATAATAAATATATATTGCATAATATTGTAAATTGTACCCTAATCATTTACCAATATTACATATATATCGGAAAACTAGAATACAAGAAACAATATTATGCAGTTTTACTTAAAGATTACCACAACAAACTACGAAACATGTTGGAACATGTATTTTGTTGGACATCTCTATGGTTTGCTAGGCTTCTAATAAATAATTTATGGTAGCATAGGGGACAAGCGAGCTTGCGGCACCTGATGGTAAGTGATTACCTCTGCCTGTGAGATACTAAATCCAGGCTAACTGCATGTGTTGATGTCCTTTTAAGAAGGAATAAGCTCTTGAAGGTTTTAACGATGGTGAGGCAGCTAGTCCACCAGCCACTGCATGAGGGCGGTGTCGTGGCCTCCAGCTGAGAGGAGTCTGCCGCCGTCGGAGAGGAACTTCACGTTGGTCACGTGAGACGAGTGTCCGCCGTACTGGTGGCACAGTGACTGTAAACAAAGCACTCGTTACTCTACAAGTCTTGGTTGCTACGTTTGTCTATGGTTTCACACAGAACGATATAACTATTTATATTAATTATAGCATAGGACAGTTAGTCACGTGAGACGAGTGTCCGCCGTACTGGTGGCACAGTGACTGTAAACAAAGCACTCGTTACTCTACAAGTCTTGGTTGCTACGTTTGTCTATGGTTTCACACAGAACGATATAACTATTTATATTAATTATAGCATACGACAGTTAGTCACGTGAGACGAGTGTCCGCCGTGCTGGTGGCACAGTGACTAAACAACGAGTTACTCTATATATTTTTTGATTGTTTGTTTGTTGGATACGGGACGATACAGTTATTTCTCGCATAGGACAGTTAGTCACGTGAGATGAGTGTCCGTCGTACTGGTGGCACAGTGACTAAACAACGCGTTACTCTATATATCTTGTTTGCTGCGTTTGTCTATGGTTTGATACGGGACGATACAGTTATTTCTCGCATAGGACAGTTAGTCACGTGAGACGAGTGTCGGCCGTACTGGTGGCATAGTGACTAAACAACGCGTTACTCTATATATCTTGTTTGCTGCGTTTGTCTATGGTTTGATACGGGACGATACAGTTATTTCTCGCATAGGACAGTTAGTCACGTGAGACGAGTGTCCGCCGTACTGGTGGCATAGTGACTAAACAACACGTTACTCTATATATCTTGTTTGCTGCGTTTGTCTATGGTTTGATACGGGACGATACAGCTATTTCTCGCATAGGACAGTTAGTCACGTGAGACGAGTGTTCGTCGTACTGGTAGTGATTGTAAACGCTTTGATTACAATCACTCTGTCACCTGTTTTTGTTTCGTTACTCTACAAGTCTTGGTTGCTACGTTTGTCTATGGTTTCACACAGAACGATATAACTATTTATATTAATTATAGCATACGACAGTTAGTTACGTGAGACGAGTGACCGCAGTACTGGTGGCACAGTGACTAAACAACGTGTTAGAATAACAAATAAATAAAATGTGATACAGAAGATAATATTTACCTTAGGTTGTGTTACAGGGTAGGCGAATAATTTGACTTTCCCAAAGTCATCGCCAGTGGCTGCCAGCCGGCTGTCCTGAGACCTGAAAACAACAACAGTTTCACGTGTAAATCGAAATCAAAGGGTAATAACAAAAGGTGTATTATGTAATTTATTATAAATTTAGCATTAATAATACAAAAGCTAGTAATTAATAATAACTTCATCTATACATATAAATAAAATTGGAGTATCTGTTTGTAACATTGAAATGACCGTTTTTTACTACATGCATATAAATACGGTACATACACCAAAATATATATTTTTTAATTTTTGTCTATCTGTCGGTTTGTTTGTTCCGGCTAATCTCTGAAATGGCTGGACCGAATATAACGGGACTTTTTTTAGCAGGTAGCTGATGTAATAAGGAGTAATTTAGGCTTTTTTTATTCTAGCAAAATAAAGTTAAATTCCACGCGGATGAAGTCGCGGGAACAGTTAGTTATTAATAAATGAAATAAAATAAAAAAAATAATATTCATGTAGGACTGTTTAGCCATCTACGAAATCAAGTTTTTGTATTAACATTTTTCCTTACAGTCCAGATCAGTATAACAAATTCAACTGTGAAGAACTGACAAGAAACTCAACTGAATTCCTTTTTTTTAACTGACTCAATTGACGTTCTCTTTATCTGTTCACTATTTCTCCTGCCTTTACAGGTACACTCTGTACGTGTAAAGGCACCGATTACATCATAGTTCAGAAAATCCAAGTTGTCAAAGTGTAGGTGTTAAGGAGTACATGCCTTGTGCAGGAGTTGATGTCTGTACCGTCTGCGTTCTCTGGCCACACGCAGATGTGAAAGAGCCGTACGCTCTTTCTTCTTGTAAAGCTAGTTATATCGTAGTTCAGAAAAATCTAACTTGTCAAAGTGTAGGTGTTAAGGAGTACTCGCCTGGTGCAGGAGTTGATGTCTGTACCATCTGCGTTCTCTGGCCACACGCAGATGTGAAAGAGCCGTACGCTCTTTCTTCTTGTAAAGCTAGTTATATCGTAGTTCAGAAAAATCTAACTTGTCAAAGTGTAGGTGTTAAGGAGTACATGCCTGGTGCAGGAGTTGATGTCTGTACCATCTGCGTTCTCTGGCCACACGTAGATGTGAAAGAGCCGTACGATCTTTCTTCTTGTAAAGCTAGTTATATCGTAGTTCAGAAAAATCTAACTTGTCAAAGTGTAGATGTTAAGGAGTACTCGCCTGGTGCAGGAGTTGATGTCTGTACCGACTGCGCTCTCTGGCCACACGCAGATGTGAAAGAGGCGTACGCTCTTTCTTCTTGTAAAGCTAGTTATACGATATATCGTAGTTTAGAAAAATCTAACTTGTCAAAGTGTAGGTGTTAAGGAGTACATGCCTTGTGCAGGAGTTGATGTCTGTACCGTCTGCGTTCTCTGGCCACACGCAGATGTGAAAGAGCCGTACGCTCTTTCTTCTTGTAAAGCTAGTTATATCGTAGTTCAGAAAAATCTAACTTGTCAAAGTGAAGGTGTTAAGGAGTACTCGCCTGGTGCAGGAGTTGATGTCTGTACCGTCTGCGCTCTCTGGCTACACGCAGATGTGAAAGAGGCGTACGCTCTTTCTTCTTGTAAAGCTAGTTATACGATATATCGTAGTTTAGAAAAATCTAACTTGTCAAAGTGTAGGTGTTAAGGAGTACATGCCTTGTGCAGGAGTTGATGTCTGTACCGTCTGCGTTCTCTGGCCACACGCAGATGTGAAAGAGCCGTACGCTCTTTCTTCTTGTAAAGCTAGTTATATCGTAGTTCAGAAAAATCTAACTTGTCAAAGTGTAGGTGTTAAGGAGTACTCGCCTGGTGCAGGAGTTGATGTCTGTACCATCTGCGTTCTCTGGCCACACGCAGATGTGAAAGAGCCGTACGCTCAAAGTGTAGGTGTTAAGGAGTACTCGCCTGGTGCAGTTGATGTCTGTACCATCTGCGTTCTCTGGCCACACGCAGATGTGAAAGAGCCGTACGCTCTTTCTTCTTGTAAAGTTCTCTGGCCACACGCAGATGTGAAAGAGCCGTACGCTCTTTCTTCTTGTAAAGCTAGTTATATCGTAGTTCAGAAAAATCTAACTTGTCAAAGTGTAGGTGTTAAGGAGTACTCGCCTGGTGCAGGAGTTGATGTCTGTACCATCTGCGTTCTCTGGCCACACGCAGATGTGAAAGAGCCGTACGCTCTTTCTTCTTGTAAAGCTAGTTATATCGTAGTTCAGAAAAATCTAACTTGTCAAAGTGTAGGTGTTAAGGAGTACTCGCCTGGTGCAGGAGTTGATGTCTGTTCCGTCTGCGTTCTCTGGCCACACGCCGATGGTGGTGAACGTGATGGGACAGTAGTTGGTGAACCACGACACGTCGCGGAGAGACGACGCTGACGTCACCTGACGGCATGTTGTCGCGTTCCCTGCAAACGGATGGAGTTGTACCAATACAGAACTTTATTGCACAAAAAAAAAAACTGAACAGAACCAATAGTAAATGTATATCAACATCAATCCTCCCCCCTCTGATGGATCCCCCGTCTAATTCAAACGGGGATCGAAATTACGCCGGCCTGAGCCAGGGTTCGGTTCCCTAGCGGTGCCCTCAGACTAAAGTCGTATCCGTCAGGCAGGTTGGCCTTTCTTTGGTTTGGAGTGCCATCTGCTCTCGCCCCCTATCGTCCGGTAAAGCTGTAAAGGCCAGCTGTGGCCAACAGCATTAGAGTATTCAGAAAAAAAAGGATACAAAGGAGGTATTATCGCTAAGCATCCTTCCAGAGAATCTTGTGTGGATTTATGTATATGGACACGAGAATGTGAAATAGCAATTCTTTCCTTCGTACTAACAATTTATTTTTCACTCATGACTAGTTAAATTTACATACTATACTACTTTAAGTGGCTTCAGTTTCAATCATATTTATAATTAAACTACATGTAAATAACTCTTGGTTTTCCAAATATAAATAAATATTTTTTTTATAAATAGAAGGAAAAAAGGAGAGGGGAAAAGCATGGTCTTTAGAAGAGCTATATCAAATTATTGACAAAATTGGAGTCGTGTCGTATCAACATTTAAAAAGCATGATGGAAGATCATGGAAAGCGGCAAGCGCTCCACCGACAAGAGCATGGTTCTTAAATTATAAATGAATGAATTAAACTTACAGAATAAAAGCTCGTAGTCTCCAGAATTGCTCCTTATATACTGACTGTCTTCAGACCAATCCAGATGCGTTATGTAACTTGAGTGACCCTGTAGAGCAACCACATTCAAATGAGATACACGTACAAGATACAAGTATGTAAAAAGCAAAATAATGCACGCCAAAGAGAACAGAGCTATAGAACATGCCATGTTACTAAGAACAATAATTATGTGAGTTTATTTATAATTCTAATTAGCTTTCCGGTGATGGAAACACCTATAGTAAACCAAATTTATCGGACAAACAGTCATAGTCTCGGCCCCTGCCATATATACCCAGTATTTCAGTGGAGTGCATGCTATATATATAAATAATAATAATATAGAATTGTTACACCTCATGCATGTTAGGGGGGAGTTGAACATTTTATCCAAAGAGAAGTAGCACTACAGACGTCGCGTACTCAAAAATTTCATTATAATTCCCCAGCCATTTCGTTCCGCAAAGTATTAACAGACAAACAGCCAGATTTCGCGTAGTCACAATTTTAAAATTTTATTATATCGTACACCTAGTACCTACTATACTAGATTAAGTAGTCTTTTATAATAAAAAAAATTTAAACGTTTGAATTAGACTTTAAAGATAAAATTTTAGAGTAGATAATCCAAAATTTATATTGTTGTACTAAGTGTACGATAAAGTAAAGAAACATCGTTCGTAGCAAATGTAAGTTCATTAAAATATTTCTCTTGAGCATTCCACTACTACACACATAGCATGACCACTTTAGATTATCTGCATTCAATTGTAACGAATGGAGTCTCACTACGATCGATTACGATGGCCTGAACACCCAGATCGATAAAAACAATCATACTCATGAATATATGTCATACAAATGTTTGACCGTGCGAGGAATTGAATCCGCGACCATCGGAAAAAAGCGGCAGTGGTCACTAGACCACTGAGGCCGTCAAGTTATAAAGGCCAGCTACGGTCAACAGTATTATGACCCCTCCGATCGATCCCCGTCCAATTCAAACGGCAATCGAAATTACAACGGCCTGAGCCGAGGTTCGAATCCCTAGCGGTGCCCTCAGACTAAAGTCGTACCCGTCAGGCGGGAGTTGGCCTTCAGCCGCTCCATAAGTCCTTCCGCGGGTTTGGAGTGCCATCTGCACTCGCTCCCTATCGTTCGGTGAAGCTGTAAAGGCCAGCTGCGGCTAACAGCATTGGAGTATTCCGAAAAAAAATTAATGGAGAAAATCTAAAGTGGTAACTACATTACTGACCTAAATATTGATATGAAATGAATGAATGAATTAAATTATCTATCAAAAAAACCTTTACAAAGCGTAATATATAGCAAATAATATAAACTAAATAAATGATAATATTTGAATAGATTGTACACCAAATTTAATAATTGAGAAATATAGATATTATTAAGTTATATTGCTACATGTTATAACAATCTTCGCAAATTTAGAAAATAAACCAAACATAGTACTTTATAATGCAGTCCTTATAATAGTTTGGTACTGAAAAAAAAATATCTTTAAAATTGATTTATAACTGACAAAATATTGAGTTACATAACTGTAAACAAAAAAATAATTAAACATACACTTCAATTGAGTTTTTATTAGTTATATAAACTTATTGAAAATACTTAGATTTTTTTTTTGTTATCTATAAAAATTATATATTAAATATATACATTTCAAAAAGTTTAACAGTAGACAAAGTACTCTGGCTTCTTATGTGGCGATATATATGAATTCATAGTCGTAAGTGTATTTAATATATTTGGTGTACAATCTGTAAAATGAATGACAATTTACCCTTCTGCGTTTTTTCTCCGTGCACTTATGCGTGAAATTGTTCACAATAGTTCAATTAAAACAATACATTAATGGATTTGTTTTAAATTATTTGTTGTCTAAGGTAATACCATACAAAAATAACGAAACCATCTGATGGAAACTTGTATAGGAAAAATCACAGGATCTTACCACGTTATACATATTTTTATGAAGTTCACTCATCATCAAATGAGAAATATTGGAAACTCAATAGGAATAAGTAAAACGTGGTAAGATTCCGTGATTTTTCCTAATTTTATGGCCCATATAACATAAATAGTACCATGAATATTATGCTGTCATTCCTGAGCATAGAGACCAGTGTCGTAGCTTCGTACCCGGTAATTTAACTGTCATATCTCAGATTTAAAAAACAAGCTGCATAGCGGCATATAAAGGTAACGTAGAACTAATTCACGTATTCGTATGGAAAAACCTTTAAAACTAGTCCCTCTGTTACTGGGGTGACGAAAGTCATTGTCGAGTCGCGAGTTCTTGTGCCTTTTAACCTACACAATTACTGTTAAAATCGAATGCGAAAAGCATTACTATATTATCGTCTAACAATGTGAAATCGGTTGTATGTAATAATATGGCCATACTAATTAATATTACAAATTACAAATTATATTTATTACAAAAACAGAGTATATTAAAAAAGAAGAAACAGATATTATATTTAAGTCTCAATATAACATTATGTCACTGCTGTCCTTACTAGGTCATTATAATGACCTGTATGAAGGACATCCAGTTACATTCCCTACGTGAAAGTTCTAGATATTAAAGACTAATGTTAATAATATTACTGCTGTTGTAGGATGCTCAATGGATCTAATATCAATTATAGTTAGGGACAAAATTGAGAGATTCTAGCTAATGGCCTTTCAGGATAAATGTTAAATTATCTATAACATTTATAGATATTTGAATTAAATTGTTAACAAATAATTTAAAACAATATAACATTGAAAATCGGTGTTTAAAATGGTGATTTAAAAACATAGTGTTGTGTAAATAACGATTTAATATAAGTATGGGAAACATAAATGTGATTTGGAATGTAGAAACTTAGTGTTTCTATATATAGTATAGTTATTCTATATAGCAATAGTATGTTATATGTTGAGACTTCGTCTGCATCACTCTTACATGACATTTATTATATTTCACCCAAATTACATAATATCTTTTAAAATTATAGCCTATGTATAAGCTATAATACTGTAAAGTTTAATAACAATCCGTTCAGTAGTTTTTGTGTGAAATATAATAAACATCCATCCATAATTACAAACTTACGCGTTTATAATATTACTAGATACTCGCCCCGGCTTCGCCCGGGTGTACATGTCTTATACAAATAAACCTTCCCCTAGAATAACTTTATCTATTAAAAAAAAACGCTTCAAAATCCGTTGCGTAGTTTTAAAGATTTAAGCATATACAGGGATGGATAGACAGCGACAGCGACTTGTGTTATGGGTACTAGATAACTGATACAAATACATAGATTTTTTTTTTCGTAAATACATACATATTATACATAGAAAATACCCAGACGTATACAAATAATCATACTCGTGAATACAAATGTTTGTGCCGTGCGAGGAATCGAACCCGCGACCATTGGACGTAAAGCGGTGTGCTGGACCGCTATACCACCGAGGTCGTCAAATTATTTTATACTATGATTAGGATTAAGATAGTGAATACGTACGAGACACTTTCCAATGCGTGTATAACGTGCGCCTTCGTCTTCGACTCGGTACACGTAGATGAAATTGTCCCGCGATCCTAGCGCCACCATGCTGTCGTCAGGTGAATACTGGATCGTTTGGATCGGCTCCGTGCTGTTGACACATCAAATGAAAAAAAAAATCAATGCAAGATTAAAGATTATTAATATTTCGACAGTCTCGGTAGTCCAGTGGTTTGGCATACGTCTTACTTCCGATGGTTGCATGTTTTATTCCTCGCAGGATATACGGTCTCAAAATTATTAGACTAAATCAGTGTGCCAATTCACTTGACGACTGGGTATAGTGGTTTGCTCACGGCAATGATGATGCTACGTATGCCATAGAGACACTAGATCAGCCAAACATACGTGTACGAGAAAAGAAAAAAAAAAGTAAAAAGAGTCATTAAGATTATATACTTGTACTAACTGTCCCGGCAAACGTTGTTGTGCCATATAAATTAATAACGCTACAAAAAAATAGGGGTTGATGATAGAAGGGTGAAAATTTAGGATTGTGTGTATTTTTGTATGTTGTATCATAAAAAAATAGAAACTAAAAATTTCGTCTAAAAAATAAAAAAAAAAAATTAGGGTTGGATTACCTCTAACATTTAGGGGGATGATAAATAGATGTTGGTCGATTCTCAGACCTACTCAATACGCTCACAAAATTTCATGAGAATCGGTCAACCCGTTTCGGAGGAGTATGGGAACGAAAACTGTGACACGAGAATTTTATATATACACAGAAGAGTACTATCGTCTCTGTCAGTCCCCTATTACTGCGTCCCATATCACGCGTTTTTGCGTGCTCAACTACAGCTTCGAGCGGACTCGCGCTGCTCATCCATCCTGTCAGCATGGATAACCTCCAGGTCTCCAAGCAAAGCCCCATAATACTGGCAGCGTCGCCACACTCACGCTCCTGTACGCTTTTTTATTTATTTTGGGGAGGTTTGGGTTATTGTCAGGTGCTAACATCTGTAACACTGCGACTTGTATAGATCTATCGTGCTCACCCTTACTCAAAGCTCGCTACCTAGATCCGTGAGGGATAAGAATCGAAGGATATTCTTATGGGCGACGGTACTTATCTCTTCAGGATAGAGCGTATATATTCCAAAGGAGATCCTCTGTTTATGCATGAGCGGGCTACAATCATCTTTCGTTTTTGTCCCATAAGACAGCGGAGGATGTATGTCAAGTGTTTGGGAAACTACTCTGCTACCAAAATATTAGGGAATTTACTCTGTATACATATATATAATTTATTTTAATTCACAACACAATGCGCGCGCGTCACGGCCGCCGTACAGTCGGTTCGGTACTAGGTAAGGGAGGGGAAAGAAGCGCGGGGACAGAAACTAACGGACTCTAATGTAATAATGTGTGCTTACGATGATAGAGGGTATATTTTGAACATCTAGGACCATACCCGTCGCGGTGCGAGGCCAGCAGTTGGCGGGTGTGGGGGTCGAACACGAGCCATGCGCCGGAGACTCCGCCCACCGCCAGCGCGCCGCCCGCCCGCGACCACGCACAGCACGCAGCGCGCTCCTGCACCACACACGTTTTGTTTTAAATTTATTTTATATACAATTTTCCACAGACATATTCGTCCGTGCCTTTTTTTAATTTACTTTAATATCATTATATTTCTTTAATTTCCATTTTTGTACAACTCCAGTAGCCCAAGAGCCCACGACTGCCAGACATACGTCATTTTAGTAAACGTGAAAGTTCTTGTATATGTCGAACTAAGAAAACTGTCTGGCAATTTAGGAAACTCAGTTTAATAGTTCTCTGAATAATATATATAAAGTTCAGCTTTATTAAAATAACGTAAATTTATTTATAAAATAGTATACTTTAGAAGGGTCCGGCGGGGGGTTGGAACCACACTAAGGGTCTGGCAACGAGCAGAGCAAGTTATAATACTGTTACGAGCAATATGTGAAAAAATGGAGCTTCTTAAAATAACGAATTTGATATGATTTTCTTACACCTTTGTTACCTAGTACCTGCCAAAGGAACCACGATCCAGGTTTCATGTATGAGGATCGTTCTTACCTGTGTTGGGGACACACATACAAGAACTATCACGTTTACTAAAATGACGTATGTCTGGCAGTTGTGGGCTCTTGGACTACAGAGGAGCCTCCAGCTGAGATGTTACAATTTGCCTAGCAGTGGCACCGAGGTAGACCTTATCCGTCTGGCCCGGAACCACCGCTGCCCGGCCGGGTAAGTTGACAACGTGTAGTGTCACCTATCTTTATTAGGAGCCAGTTACATTTACCAATATACATATACAATTATATAAATCTTACATTACTACTAATTTCACAGTTTTCATTACATTGTGTTGTATTATTACATTATGAATTCTTACTTTACATATACAATTATAGTACACAGGTTGTAACAGTACGCAGTATACAGATCCGAACTCGTTACACGGAAATCTTGAGGTATATTCAAAAAGTTATCGGTATGCGTACCTCACGCCATTTCGGCCGCAAATACTTTGGTTTATGACATGTTTTAAGACGAGGTATTGCTCGAGTTTGATTCTTCGCACGGTGCAAGCATTTGTACGCACAGTACGAATGTTTGCACCGTGTCTGCGTGTGTGTCTGTATGTACTCACGTCGATGTCCTTGCTCCAGAGGGTGCAGTGTGCGAGTCCGTCCCACAGCTGCAGGAGGCGGTCTGCGCCGGCCGACGCGAACTGCGCTAACTGCGGGTGCGCCGCCAGACCCCACACTTCCTCCACGTGACCTGCGGCCGTAAAGATCTCATATACCATATAACCTTATACACGGTCCCGAAACCCTTATCGCTATACCATGTTATAACGACACCGTCCTCGCAGACGAGGACCATGACCTCAACTACACAATTCAAATTTCGCTCGCTCGGTCGTCCGCTCCACATCGATGGCCCCGTCGCCCTTTAATCCATCGCCCATCCAATTGAAACGAGAATTGAAACTACGACGGCCCTCCCCGCCTAAAGTCGTATTCATAGAGCAGAAGTTGGCTTTCAACCGCTCCATAAATCGAGGAGAGATTAGAGTGCTATCTGTACTCGGCCCCTATCGTTCGATGTAGCTGTAAAAACCTATGGGCAACAGCGTTAGAATAGTTCGAAAAAATCATAGCCACCAGTTTACACTGGCAGTAGACATATCAGCGGAAACCATATTACAATGCGCCTTTCGGAGATCTTTTTTATTAAATTAAGTATTATATTGTGAAAGTCCACATCACTTAAACAAATGTTTACTATTAAACTTTCGTGTTTAATATACATTATTTAAATTATTAACCGGGTCTTAACGCGAATAATTTTATGGTAAAATAAAGGTATTTACCTCTCTCGACGTTTCGACTAGGTTGCACTAGCCGTGGTCACGAGCTGACTGGAGTAACAGCGATGTTTGCGAGACCACAAATATTGACTAGATGGCGCTGTGTGAATTATTATCATCGTCTTTTTCTTTACAAGACAATCATAAAAGTTTTAATGGATTTGTAGTAGAAAGTTCAAAGTTTTTATGAAAAAAAAAACGTGTCCTTACCTAACACGGCTGGTGAGAAACCCAGTTCCAAGTCTCCATGCAGGATGCAGTTCTTGGTGGTGCCTATGAAAAGTTGACTGCCACGACCCTCCGCCACCACGCGGACACCACCGTAATGTCCCTCGATCTTATGGAAAATTAGAGAAAACCATGCAAATTTTTATTTTATAGAAAGATATGGTATATTGTACCCCGCTTGCGCTAACGGACGGGGCACCAACAGAGCTAAAGTAAGCATGAAGTCATGTAAGTTGACCTATCGTGACAAATTTACGAAGAATTTATTACAATGGTTTCAAGGAGGAAGCGCGTGAAGGTCAACCTGACTTGGTACGCTAGCGATGGAGTAATTAGTTCGTAGTATTAATAATCTCTTTCCCTCATAATGGTACTTTAATTGATGTACTTGTATGTAAGAGACACAGTTACTTCAAGATAATCGTATTAGCAGTAAGACAATCTAAATATTGTACTAAGCATAGCACAAACTGTGTAACTCCTCTTTACATTTTAATACCTACGTACTAGGTATTATTCGTCCGCATGGAATTTAACTCTGTTCTCATTAAAATTAATAAAAATTCTAAAGTAAGTACAAAAGCAGGGTGTTAGAAAGTGATTATTAGAGGTAGTACTGACCGTGTGTTGGAGCCCGGTGGGGTTGAGGTCCGGGTCGAACATGAGTATGCGTCCGTCCTTGCCGCCGGCGGTGACCACGTGGCCCTCCTTGAGCACGGCCACCGAGAACACGGGCCCCTCGTGCGCGGCCCGCACCACGCGGCCCGCGGCGGCCGAGCCGCGCGCCCACACCGACACGTTGCCGCTCGAGTCGCCCGCCACCACGTCGCCTGCCAACGGGACAGAAATATAGAAAAATATATTTGTTTGTCTCACTCTACAAATTAAATATCTAATATACACAAGGTAGTTTTATAATGAATACTTTAATATATACAGCAACAACCACATTGGTTACAATTCAGTTTTGTGTCTAGACCAGTGTTTTCCAACCTTTTTTTGAACCATTGCCCAACTTAGCCTTTAAACATACATAATTTTTAATATAAAAAAATTAAATTGTTCACTTAAGAAATTTAAATGATAGGTTCTAGAAAGAAATCATTAGGAAATTGGTAACGAAACATAGTAAGTAAATTTTCAAAACTTGATTTTTATATGTTAAATAATTATATTATAATACTTTAATTTAGTGGTAAAACAATTGTTTAAGATGCTTTTTCTTTAAATATGGAACCGAAACCTAGCATTGCACTGAAATAGGCCGGGTTAAATTCGTATCGAATCCAATTTCAAATTCCCCGACCAACGGGACCGGTGCCGCTACCGTTACTGGGATCGTACCCTACCGTACGGTGTCGTCGACTTCGCCGGCGAGGACGGTGTCGTGTGTAGACCCGTAGGTAAGGTAGCTGACGTAACTCGATCGTCGAAATCAGTTTATTGTATTTTATGAACAGTTGTCGCTTCCGTGCGTCGGAAAATCGTAGTAATTGAATATTTAGCCACCGCAAAAAAATACAGATAAATTGTATTGCAAAAAGCATATTTTCGCTCTTAAAACTTATTGTTAGAACACATTAAGTTAATTGACGTCACTTATCTTGTAGTGTTTATCATTTATCACAAGTGACATGTATTAAATCCTTTGTGCCAGATATGCACGAACTAGTCACCAAATTAAGAAGTAAATGCATTGTGTTATATAAAATCTCATACCCACAGACAAATGCAAAAACTACAAATACACACACATACAAACGCTAAAAGTATACATAAATAAAATATGCATAAATAAATAATTAAAGTAAAATACAAATACACATATCCATGATCATATTTAAAACTTATTGTAACTGACAAAGTCACTCTGTTCATACATTTCGATAAATTTATGAGATATTTGTTATTGTCTTTACTCATTATGTAATACTAAATAAAGTATATATATTGTATAAGCCGTTGATTACCTAAATAAATCAAATCAAATCAAATTTATTTGCCATAAACATAGGTTTACATTCGTTGTTGTTGTTAATATTCCCATTATCTTTTGCATCATTGGGCATGCAAAATTTATAAATATTTAAACATTATTTAATTATTAAAACAATTGTCATCTCAGTAATTATAAATACATATTATTATTATTATTACATTATTATTAATTTAAAAACTCGTTTACGGAGTAAAATCATTTGTCGAGTCACCAATTATTTAATTTATATGTCAATCGTCATCGTGCAAGTGTCTTTATATCATCTGGTATTTTATTTTAAATATTTATTGCCATATGGAAGACATTATTTTTGACCATAGTTAATTTTATGTACAGCTTCGTTCCTACTCTAGATCTTTGACTTCTTTGGCTCATTTCTTTATTTTTAGGAATTATATCTGGTATTTGAATTACTAATATCACTATTTGTTTAATATACATACCAGTTAAGCTCATTAATCTATGTTTGTTAAATAGTGTAGAATTTGACAGTGCGGTTTCAGAGGAGCTGCCTCCCGCGTACACTTAGGTTGTGTAATGAACTTCCTGCCGAGGTTTTCTCACGAGACTACAGCATGGGGTTTTTCAAGAAGGGTATATTAAGGTATCTTAAGGGCCGGCAACGCACACGTGACACCCCTGGTGCTTCAGGCGTCCATGGGCTGCGGTAGCCGTTTGCCATCGGATGGGCCGTATCCTTGTTTGCCACCATAGTAGTATAAAAAAAAAGTGGTTTGTGAAAGTATATGACTAAATACTATTAGCAATTATTTATATCTCAATCAAAATTTAATTCATACCGTTGTGATTGAATCCGAGACAAGTGACGTATTTGGGTTTGTCACGGCCCTCGAACACGCCCATCCTCTTGTACAGCATGTTGGTGTTGTCCAGCGTCCAGAACGCGATGTGGTTCTTCCCGCACGTCACTATTTGGTTGCGGTCCAACGGGTGGAATTCAGCTGCCACCACCGTGTCCACTGAACACTGTAATAAGGTCTTTAGGTTACTATCTGGCTACTATAGAGAGAAGGATGTCTTTTAGATAGCAAGAATGTTTGTCACAAATTTAATTAGGAACAGTAACCTCTTTGTTTTTCAATTAGATTAGGTAACGAGAAATATAAAAACCTTTGTTTGTGCATTACAAACAACGAAAATATATTTCTCGTTATTTTTATCTGAGGAGGAGTTTTCTCCCGCGTACACTTAGAATGTGGAATGAACTACCTGCCGAGGTTTTCCTACGAGACAGCATGGGGTTTTACAAGAAGGGTATATTAAGGTTTCTTAAGGGTCGGTATACATGTATAGATATATGTATATACATATTTACGTTACACCCTGGTGTCTCAGGCGTCCATAGGCTACAGTAACCATTTACCATCACATGAGCCGTATACTTGTTTCCCACCACCAATTTTTTTTTTTTGGTATATTTCTGCAATAATATTAATAAATAAATAACACTGGACTATTCACACAGCGCCATCTAGACCCAAGTTAAGCTAGCTAAAGCTTGTATTATGGGCACTATATAACCGATACGATTTTTGATTTTTTTTTGTAAATACTTGTATACATATATATATTATGTATACAAGTATTTACAAAAAAAAAAAATAATAATATAGAAAACACCCAGACCGGTACAAACAATTTTACTCACGAATACAAATGTTTGCACTGAATCGAATCGAACCCGCGACTATCGAAAATAAAGCGGTGTCTTAATTACCTCTAGACCACCGTGGCCGTCAAACTTTAGCTTTACTTGAGGTTTACCTTAGTTTCCGCTATGCAGTGCCCCTTATCCCCTCGCTGCCACTCCCACACGGATATGGTGTGGTCTGGACCGTCATCAACACACGCCAGCAGCGAGCCGCCGTCCGCGCGAGAGAACGTCACACAAGCAACCGCACGGTCCATCTGACCAGCTCCGATCACCGCTAAAGTTGCTAGAGATACTGAGTTCCATACTCGGACATGAGGCTGCAAAACAATGAAATACAATCCTTACTAATGTTATAAACTTGCTATTCGCCTCGGCTTCGCACGGGTGTACAGTTGTACATTTATTATATATATAAACCTTCCTCTTGAATCACTCTATTAAAAAAAACCGCTTCAAAATCCGTTGCGTAGTTTTAAAGATTTAAGCATACATAGAGGGACAGGCAGCGACAGCGACTTTGTTTTATATTATGTAATGATGTCATGCCAAGTAACTTTGTCTCAGTCTGTCTGTCGAGCGATCACGCGCTACTGAAACGAATTAAATGAAAATTGGTACACAAATAGTCTATACTCTGAGAAAGGAGACATGATACTTTTTAATAACAAAAAAGGTTGTAAGGTGATATGATTTGTTGTATGTATCGTCAATTTTTAATTAGGAAATATTTTAAGAAGGAATATCTTTTCTTGAAGGTTTCATATTATCGTATCGGTTCGGTAACACCATTATTTATTTTTATTTATTTATACTCTTTATTGCACCAATTACAGAACAAAAACAAACAAAAAAAAAACAATTAAAATGGAAAATATACACTGATACAAAAGGCGGTCTTATCGTAGAACAATCTCTTCCGGCCTACCTTTGGGTGGATAGAGAAATAAAACTATGAAAAGGGTAGGTGGCGCACGTAATAAACAAAAATAAATATATATAACTCAGATATACATAAATATAAACATACACACACATTAATACATATATACATACACATACATATATAATAACATACATTCGGAAAGAGAGATATATAAGAGACACACATACATTTGGAGAGAAGAGATAAGGAGAATAATAAGAAATTAATTAAAGAGATATAAATGATTTTTTTTAAAGCTAAATTCAAAAAGATATAAACCTAACGGCCTGGACAAATGGATTTTTTTTGGAATAATCTTACACGGAGATAGTTAACATTACGCGAGGAGTGGCTGTTGTTCTCACTGAGAAATGTGAAACAGTCTTTTAGGTAATAAGGAGTAACTGACATTATTGAAAGGTGATTCTACAATTTGGTTGTGCGTGACAAAAAGTTTCGTAGAAAAACGGACTGTGAAGGACCGCCATTCATTAAGATCATGTTTCATATGTATTCCCACTTCAATTGCAATAAGCAAGTCCAACTCGATAAATAATAGAATGTCACATGAACCTACCCTGGCGTCCAATCGGTCGTGGCCCGCACACTGCCCACTGGCTATAATCAGCTTGTTGGGATGTACCGCTATGCACTTCACATCATCAGTATGCCCGGTGTAGTGTCTCTGACACCGTTCCTCCACATTGAACAGGACCACTACTGCTGCGACGAAATATATTATCTCCCCGGTTGGCAGAAGGTAGAGATTACTGCGGCAGTCTTTGCCCCTGGAAATGTACAACAATTATATATTTCTAGATCGTTATTTGTTACGTCATTATTTAAAAATGGAATGACGAAAATATATGTCTATCCGTTATGAATGGGTGTTGCTTGTGGGGACTGGTCTGTTTGGGTTGCGAACACTGATTAGACTATTTGCTTTTGAAATAGCATATGCTGGTGGTCACACTATTCTCCCAAGTTTGAATTAAAAATTAATCTGTATTATTGTAAACATGTATAATATTAATTTGAAAAGAATACGAGCTGTTTATTGTCAGTTCTTCTCAACTTGAAATCATACCGAACTGCAGGTAGATTTGACATATCATAAGAGTCTGTAATAGACCTACATGAATAAAGATATTTTGAATTTGAATTTGAAAATTAACCATATACTATTACCAAACAGCATTATATAATTTGTCAGGATTTCTTTCAGGTATTTGTTTAAATTTCATAGACGCCCTAATATTTGCAGAATCCGAATTTAATTTATTTATTAATCAGAAACAATCCATACATTGTGTAGGATAACATATAAGGTCTAAAACATAATAGTGACTTAAACAGTAAATTTATTTTATGTCAGCAGGAATAGTATAATTGGTCAAGTGAAGTCTTTATGGATTTCGTAATAATCATCTACTGAATAGAATAGAATAGTCATTACTTATTTTTTTAATCTACCGCTCATTCGAAAGGCAATCTCATCACAAGAAGAACGAACAAGAAACTTGCGTGTTTGTAAAATTGTTAAAAAGGTTCAAAAGTGTGAATATAAAAAACAAACAGATTTTACAATACTAAATAAAGTGTTGCTTATAACCAATAAAGCAACAATTACAATGGTGACTGACTGACCCATTGTCAGTAGAGTCATCATTGCATAGTTGACCACTCATGCACGGCTGCAGCTGACCTTGCCTACGTGACTTGGTAACTTCCGTTGGTACTGAGTTTTTGTTATTACAACTGTTCAAGTCAACGAACGATGTTGTTTTGCTTAATCATTAATGTCCTTGGATTTTCAGTTTTTTGACTAACGTTTGTAGTGGTTGTGTCTACTTCAGTAGGTACTTTTTTAATATAGATATACATATAAATAACCACAATTAGATTCCGGGTATGAATTGTAATTATGACTAGATTATTTTAACGACTATTCAAATAGAAAAAAATATTGTTATGTTATTGAAGAATCTATTCTAATAACATTAACAAAACATCTGCAAGACTTTTTCACCATATGGGATGGGCAGATTCTTAACCAATCGAGGATATGGCATTTCTTGATCCACATTTCGCTAAGTATCAACATCAAAATAACAGGGAACGAAGCTACCTTCGTTTTTTATTTTAATATTGTTTGACATTCGTGTTTTAATCATCAAATTCGAACTCCAGACCTTTTAGTCTTAGTGGGGGGTAGTAAACCACTGGGCTATGGAGTTTTTTTTTTAATATATAGGTTAAGGCAGAGGATTATGACTGACTTATCTATTGACCGACTAAATAGCTTGCGCTAGAAATTTCTACTGATACAGTTAAGTTGCCTAGAACCTGAGTAGTTCTAGGCAACGCAGAGGTAACTTAGCCGGTAGCAAAATAACAGAAAATATTATTAATTTCTTATATTCGTTTATTTTCACGTTCTAAAAACGGTAAGTCGATCGATTTGTCCTTGGGACACGCGATCTAGACTAGACTTTAGCCTCAAATAGTGTGTAATATATTAGTCATACAGCTGACCTCCACGCACACTATATATAAGGTAATAACCTTATCTGTCTTTCTGTCCACTCAGGGGAATAATCCGATAATTAAGTATTTATGTTTATTTATTTAAACTACTGGACGAGTGGCCGGAATTAGACCATTATACATTTAAATTTGGAACTTTATTAAGGGTCTATTGTTAAATACTACATGTGTATGTGTATGACTAACATAAGATAGTATGCATTATTTTTCTATTAATTAAATATATTTTTGAGCATTATTATAAAAAAAATATATTAAAAAAGAATAGTAAAAATCGGACACTTATTTTTTAAGATACCCGTTATAAATTACACAAAATTACATCTGTACTCTTTATAATATTAGTATAATTAATAGAAGTTAAAAAACTCGTTACTTAAAAAATATGGCCCAATTAAAATGAGGCTAAAACGGGAATATACCCTTGTATAGCGTGTTAGAAAGAAATAAAATAAAAATCAATAAGAACATTGACCAACCCTTTATCAAGCAATAATCTACCTGATTTTATACGTAACGAATATGGTTGACCGGCCAAGCGAGGAATTGGTGGAATCAAGTAACCTTGGCCGGTACAAGATAACAAAGAAACAAAAGAATCCGGCGTCTAATTTGTAGAACAAAGGCTATGGTCGGACAGAAACAGCTGTAGCAATGTTTTACAGTGCACATAAAATTTATTAATCCAAAAAGAACTGTAGTAATAATAGGTTTTAAAACAAAAATCAAAGACATTAATGAGGGTTAGAAACTAGCCTAATAGATAGGTTGATCAATAACTGGTGTTAAGGAGTGTCAGACCCAACACAAGTTTATTTCACACTATTCTAACAATGTCGGCTACCAGCTTCACCGGACGATAGGGGGCGAGTGCAGATGGCACTCCAAACCCGTGGAAGGACTTATGGAGCCGCTGAAGGATACGACTTTAGTCTGAGGGCACTACTACCCATCCCAACATATCTGCCGCCAAAATTTTCTTTGAACACATTGCGTTCTAATTATTTCTGAGAGTAGAGCGTGCAAACCAGCAAACAAACGAGAATTGACATAACATTTAATATTTTCATTATTATTTTGCAAATCATTAAGAAAAAATATAATTTGCATGCTTCCTGATTATGAGACGAACAATTGTACCCTATTTTTAATGTATGACATAAGTCTTGCAATAAAATAGGATACACACTGTAATGAAAACAATGTTTAAGCAAATAAATCTTGCTAACATTATAAACGCGAAAGATGGATGTTTGTTACTCTTTCAGCATCGCTCTCAAGAATAACCTTCAATTCTTGTCTATGACGGATCTACGGAGCGAACCAGAGTTCGCTTTTTCAGAAAAAAGGGCGCGCACAAAAGATCTACGTAGGTCGCAGTGCTTCAGCCCAAACCCCCCAATAAAAAAAATATATCACGCAAAAACTATTGACTGTATATAATGTATAGATGAAACTATACAGTAGCATTGTATATATATGAGAATTACATATAGCCTATGTGTCATTTTCATAATTTAAAATGGTAGTCTGTAAATTGGGCGAAATAAATGGTGAGTAAGTGTGATGCAGAAGAAGTTATGCGAGTCAACCTGTTATATATCTATCTAAAACTCTCAGCGTTTTGGAAGTACAAACCTAAAAGTGACAAAATGAAAACGTACATTGTAGTGTGGGAGGTAATTACGGTACTTCTAGGCGTTCACAACAATTGGTAAATTGGCGAACGAAATTCATTTAATGGTCATATACAACAGATCAAGTACAGAAACAGTTGTGTAATATTATTTAACCGACTGCTAAAGAAAGGCATTTGTATTCACAAATTTCAAATTGAAAACGTAAAGTTACAACTAAGTTATTTAAAAGAGCAACAAGCAAATTTCTTGTTCGTTCTTCTTGTGATGAGACGGTGTTGAAAATATAATTAATGCTGGCCATCAAAGAATGAATCTTTTGTACATTTTTGTCAATGTATATATGATTAACAGATCCAAAAAATAATACTTTCTTATCCATATCATATTGAGTTATTTACAAAAATAAAAATGAATTCTTAATACGCCATGTTATTGTATCAAACTTTTCTAATTAATAAATTTTGAATTTCGAATCGTTATGTAAATAAAATTAAAATATACTTAGATGGCCAAGAAGGTTTTAAATTCATACTTAATCAATATATTTTAATATTTTATCTATTGCGTAAATATCTTACTTCCAAAAGACAGTTTTCCAAATGAGCGATAGATTAATAAAAATAAATTCATTAGTGCATAAATATAAGTTTATTTGAATAAACAATTTTCTATTCTATTTATTATTAAAACAAATATAGATAATTAAATAATTGCCACAGTACCTAATTGTATGATTGTTTTCATGTAATGTATTTTTCATGTGCGTGGCTGAAATAATGAGTGGTCATAAAATAAACACTGCGACCTTGTTACACAATCGATCGATAACACCGTTGACAAAAGCTTTTAGTTAAAAATTAAACCGGTCAAGAGTAGGTTGGATACGTGTCAGTAGGGTTCCGTTTAAATTTTGACTGACAGTGATTAAAACTATTTGCTTTTGCAATAGCATATGCTGGTGGTCACTCGATTTTCCCAAATTTGTATTTAAATGAATCTGTACTATTGTAAGCGAAAAGAGTTTCTTGTCAGTTCTTCTCATCTTGAAATAATTCCGAACTGACGGTAGATTTGACATATCACATTTGAATTTGAATTGAATTTTAAATTGTCAATTATTACAGTTTGTAAAAAATATATCATCGTAATCAATTAATCAGTTCTACCTTTATCCCATTATTAGGGGTCGGCGCAGTGTGTCTTCTTCTTCCACTACTCTCTATCTCCCGACATATCTGAGTTTACTCTCCTTTTATACATATCACACTCCGCTCAATCCATTCACCTTTTTTTTATAAATTTATGTATAAAGTGAAGCAATTTTGGATTGTATGTGGTATTTATTGAAAATACTCTTGTTTGTATAGATAATAGATAAGAGACTAACTTCTTAGCATTCCATGGATTTACCGCGCCGGTGCTGAGCTGGGTTTATCGTGTGACGGATAGGGAAATTCCGAGTAGCTCCCGGGATTTAATAAAATTCAAATTCAAATTATCTTTATTCATGCAGGTCTATTATACACTTTTATGATATGTCAAATCTACCGTCAGTTCGGAATGATTTTGAGCCAAAAAGAAGTAAAAATTTATATTTATAAAGAAACATTATATTTAGGAGTATCTGTTTACAGCAAAATGGATATTATAAAATAATTATACAGCTCATGGTACCAATTATGTAGGTATTGTTATTTATGAGGACTACGTTATCATCCCTTTGCACCACGTGCTTTCACTACCATATCTCACCATTCAATAGAAACACAGCTTATGTTTATTGTCTGATATAAATACCATAAATAATCGTCTAATTAAGAACGTCTGCAGCATAGACAATAATGCACTCACCTGTAACCATAAACCCATTCGAGTTTGAGCTTGCTCTGCGGTGGTGGCGCCACTTTGGCGGGGTCGAGCCCATCGTGGTCGCTGGGTCCGTACAACACGATCGGTCGACCCCGCAGGAACATGCGGATCGACCCGTCCTCCTCATTGTATTGACATGTGTGTGTGCTAGAAACAAACAATCAGTTGATTAAACAAACTTATAGTCGGACGACCTCGGTGGCCTAGCGGTTTAATATACCGCGTTACTTAAGATGGTCACGGGTACGATTTCTCGCACGGCAAAAACATTTGTTTTATAGCACAGGGCAAACGAGCTTGCGGCTTACCTGATGGTAAGTGATTATCGCCGTTCATCAGCACCCGCAACACCAGGGGAACTGCAAGTGCGTTGCCGGCCTTTTAAGAAGGAATAATCTCTTTTCTGAAGTTTTCAATATTGTATCGGTTCGGAAATACCATTGGTGATTCCACAATGTGGTTGTGATTCATGAGTATGATTGTTTTTATCAGTCTAGCTGCATTCTATGTATATATTTACAAAGAAAATGTATTTAGTAACAGTCGTATTTATGAATACAAATGTTTGTACCGTGTGACGAATCGAAGCCGCGACCATCGGAAGGAAGGCTGTGCTAAACCGCTAGACCACCGAGGTCATCAAAATTATGTATAACAGCCAACCGGATTAACAGGATACTTTAATACCTTTTTATTATTACACCACAATTATGAGTCGAGGTCCACACGGAATATGTTGACATACTTTCTGAGTATGTGCTTAATAACTCTTATATTTATGAAGTTATCTATATATTAATACTTGAAGCAAAAACTTTATACACCTTTTTACTAAAATTGCGTGGAGGGAGCAATATGAAACTTCACACACTTATATTTTTATATACAAAAATGCGGCGTGTTATATATTTTTAAAATATGCATAAAAACACACTATATAAATAAAAAAAAAACATTACACACTACTATTTATTTGACACACACGAAACTATACTCTTTTGTTTATTGTTAAAATCTGTGGTCAAATTGAGAATAGATTAATATTGTTTGTCATTTTTATTATTTAGTCTTACTGAATGTTAAATTAATTATGGTTGAATTTCGACCATAATTAATTTAACATTTCGACCACTGGGCGATATGTACAATATTTGAATGCTGATATTCAACGATTTACACACTGTTAAAATAAATAATCACACATTTTTTTTAAAAAGGTTAATTTTTAGTTGAGTTACTACGTCCTTTGTGAATTTGGCACACGAGTATAAACTCGTATAGAGATATTGATCAGTTTACCATTGATTTCTTCAAGTTTTGTAAACTTTAAAATAAAATATGGTAATTGACTGTAACACCAAATTCGGTTGTCATTTTGTCGTTGTGAATGGTATGTACAACTTTTTAGGTAACATTAAATATATTGACATAACGGTGTTTATCATTATTTGAAAGTTAATCGGATACAAAAAGTACACTGTCACGGAATTAATAATAATTACTTAAAAATGAAAGTAAAGCCTTCCTTTTAGAAATAGAATTATCAAATTTGGTTCACAGTTAATGTGTAGGTATAATACTAAAATATACATATATTTTGTTAACCGAGTCTTAACAACGAATAATTATATTTTGACAAAAAAATATCTAAACATATATAACTCAACCACTGGACCGATCGGGCTAAATTTGGCATGCAGGTAGATGTTATCAGCTAAAAAAGGATTTTGATTAATGCTACCCCCAAGGGGATAAAATAGGGGATGAAAGTGTGTATGAAACTTTGTCATTTTTAAACTGACCGGGCTGAGACTGCATGCGTAAAGCTACTATGACGTAGGCATCCCCTAAGACAGAATTTTGTTAAATTCCACCCCTAAGGGGATAAATTAATGCGAGCGTCTATATCACATTTTAGCATTGAAAAATGCATACAGCTTCAAATTTTAACTCTTCTACCATCAAATAAAAAATAAGGTATTTACCCCTTTGGACGTTTATTTACTATAAATTTATTCGTGTTAAGACCCGGTTAATAATATAATTATGAATCTGTATTAACATTTAAATAACATTAAAAGGTTTTAATTATATTTTTTAAATTCTTTTGCTATTATTTAAATTTAGAAATTAGAACCATTTAAAATATTGTTGCTATTTTTTAAAATTAGAACTTGATGTTCCTTTTTTAAAATTCCTGTTTGATAAAATAAAGTAGGAACTTAATTCTATTAATAATTGTTATTAAAAGTTAATAATTGTTAATTGTTAGATAACAAATCGAACAAAGCAAACTGTTAATTCATGCATTATGATTAACAAGGTTATAACTAATTAAAATAATTACATTTAGATGACATTTTTGTTTGTATATAATGTTATATTAATTTAATTATAGAAATATTTAATTAAATTAATAATTAGTACATATAGTTGAATGCCACTAAAATTAAAACTTAGTTGAAAATAATAGTTATTATTGAACTATTAGTTTTATTAAAGTAATACTATATTATTTTCATACGATAGATGGATGTATTAAAGAATAAAAAAAACTGATAAACAAAAATAATATTTAAACTTATGAGAAGACATATTATATAATATACTTTTTTTTATATTATTTCCTATTATATAACCACCTATAAGGAGAAAGGATTTCATTTCTCTTTGATAAAGAAAAAATAATACAATGTTTTTTTCAGGTAGTAATTTGAGCAGTATTTCATTTTCAAATAATTTAAGATTCCTACAAAAAAATAACTATAGCCGAGCGTAGACGGGGCGGGTCGTTAGTATGTAATACACAGGTATAGCTATGATTATATCTATACGTAAAATTAGAAATCACGGGAGCTTACAAATTTTATTGAGTTCTCGATATTTCGGTCGACCACATTAATAAAAGTGTTAAGTGAATTCTATATAGATTTATAAAACGTTCCCAATTTATAAATTAAGATTTCATAAAAATGATACCAAAATGTAACTTTAGAATATTATATCAATTACAATCCCCATGCATTTAACAAGCACAAAAACCATAAAACTCAGTTACCAAGCGACGCATCAATTGAGGGCAAATCTGAGAAAAAAATTTAACCGACTTACACAGAGGTGAATGACATGATAGCGGTCTTTTTTTTCTTAATCTGCAATTGTATGCGTTTACCTCCCAGATTTGTTTAATTCAATGAGAGCCCTCGCCGCTTTACGAACTCCCAATGCCCAGCTAGGCGTTAAAAAATAATCTAAAAACATAAATAATAAATGATTCTGTTGTGTATAAAAAATTGACGCTAATGGTCAATTATTGACATGACAAAAGATAAGCTTAAACTTTTTTACGACCCACGTAAATATAAAATACTAGTTATTCCGCGCAACTTTGTCTGCGTCCGATATTTCGTCGTATCAGCAACATTTTTTAATACTGCTCTGCTTCTATTGGTTATAGCGTGATGTTATATAGTCTACAGACATCCTCGATAAATAGGCTATTTAACACAAAAAAAATTGCAAATCGGAACATTAGTACCGGAGATATTACTCAACATCCAAACTCACAAACTGTACTTATCTACATCTATACATACAAACAAAATATGAGTGTCTGTTTGTAATATTGAAATAACCGTTTTTTATACGGTACATACACCAAAATAACATTTTTTGTCTGTCTGTCTGTTTGTTCCGGCTAATCTCTGAAATGGCTGGACCGATTTTAACGGGACTTCTTTTGGCAGGTAGCTGATATAATAAGGAGTAACTTAGGCTACTTTTATTTTAGAAAAATAAAATTAAATCCCACGCGGACAAAGTCACGGGAACAGCTAGTTTATAATATCATTCTTCGATAAATAGGCTATCCAAAACTAAAAGAATTTTGAAAATCGGATAAGAAGCACCGAAGATATTACTCCGGACATCTAAACTCACAAACTTCACCTATTTATAATATTAGTGTACCATAGATAAAATGACTTTACCTGTCGTCCATATCGATGAAAAAAAAAACAAAATCAGACGAGATTACAACGAAACCACTTTTTTTTAAATGCTAAAAACAGCAAACTTTTTCGGTGCACGACTGAGAGTTTTACTTTTTAAAACCGGTTTCAAGGAGTCGTTTGCAAACAGCCGACGAGCAAGAATAACTTGGTCAGACTGCGTGTACAGAAAACGAGACGAGCGCGAAACGGTACTGTACATTCTAAAATACCATTTTTCGTTTTGCACAAAATCCATTGCTGTTATATTTATAATTGGAGTTTCAGGACCAGTACGAAACAAGCAATGTAATGCACATAGACGATCAGTATATTTATAATAGTGGTGGTGAACAGTTTTAGTCTATGAGTCATTCAGACTTGATGACGTCTTCCTTATTTAGTTCCAAACAAGGAAATATGCATGTATATATATTATAGCTGCTGTAGACAAGACAGCTAAAACATTAGTTAGTAATACGTGTGATGATGCTCTGATACAAACTTGATATAGATAATATAATATAATCTTATCTGTGGTACAGACAACTGAAATATCAGACTAATGCATCTAAGGATCCTTTGATGACACAAACGGACAGCGTTCAGATGTATCAACATTCACATTTACGAAGTGGGTCGATTCCGATTATTATTTTTTTATTCAATCGAGTTTATGCAGTCGATTTCAACAGAACCGGTCAAAGAGCAATTATTCTCATTTTTTTTACAGATATACCGTCAATTTACGAACTATTAAATAAAAAAGGATCATCAGATAATTATTCTTTACCGTCATGTTCTCTAACTAACCTATAAAGAGGTATCATCAGATAGAACCTCTCTGTAAAAAGTGATGAACTTGGACCTACCTGGTGTATTTTTAATTGTCATTACGCGTTGATTTAAGTTTTATTTTTTTACACAATACTTCGTTTTTTTCTTAACTAATTAATTTTAAGCATTGAATGAATATTTTTCTTTCGGTTTAATATATTATGTTTAATAATTAGATCTATTATGATTATTCATTAAACTACAATTTATTCGTTATTTTAATTTGACATAAATAAAATAAATAATGGCTGTTTAATTATAAGAATAATTAAAATTGTCCTTTATTTCGCCTGTTGCATTACATAAATGACAAAATATTTGAAACTTAAAGTGAAGATTTTAATAACCACATATGACTACCACATTTTAAGCAACAAATATTTAATTTGACATCGCGTGTGCCCATAAGAAATGAAATATTATATTAATCTATAAAACATTATATACCGACTTAACATACAATGTTACGGTGTCTCCCTATGGGTTTACAACATTGCGAAAAATTAATACCATAATGGGTTGGTTGTTACGACAATGCTTCGTTACAATTAAAGTGATAATACTTATAAGTATAAATTCATATTATTATACCAGATGGGGTAGGCAGAGATATTTATGATATTTTTTCATTTAACAAAGTTGCGAACGCATAATATTTGCACTATTAATTTTCGCTGGACATACATAATTGGTGTTACCGGTGGCTCCATCAACGGAGTGTTTTATAAATATAGGTTGTGCTTCACATCAGTAATATCTGAGGCTAATAGGAGCCAACCTTGTAGGTTTTCTTTTAATATGATGGTAATAAAGGCTATAAGATATAACCAAATTTTAAAATAGATAGATAATATCTTAAAATTTGGTATAATCTTATAAGATTGTAAAATACTGAAAGTGACGCGTTGATCACACAGTTAGCTTTGTTAATATAATCTGGTAATGTTGGCAATAAAGGCTTTATCTATCTATCTATCTTAAAATATCGTACAAACGATGTAAAATGCTGAAGGCTCTAAATCTTATATTTGTGTACGAATTGTACGGTTGGTAACACTGGATCGTCACGATTTCGACCGTGACGCGTATATCACAGTCATCTCGGCCAATGAGCTGCGCAGCGTGGGCAGATTACATAACATAAAATCTAATGACTGCAACATCATTTGTAGTAGGTATGTGTATTGTATTTGTTACATAGTAATGTCGCTGTGATAGAAGATTTTGTGTACACCATACATGTAATAAATTATGTACCTATATATACATATATATGTATTTAAGTATAACGGCGCAAGTCGTCTTTTCGAATCTGGTTAAGACAAAGGAAATATGTCGATTTATATTTCTGTATATACTGTGACGTTGAAAACTGGAAACGTTATCACCATGTCACGATCTTATAATGTGATCCCATGGGGAGCTACATCCTCCTATGAGCTCCATTGAGGGCTATATAGAAAACACTCAGACCGATACAAACAATCATACTTAAGAATACTAATGTGTGGATCGTACGAGGAATCGAACCCGCGACCTTCGGAAGTAAGGCAGTGTGCTAAACCGCTAGAAGCATCAAGGCCGTCAAACGTTCATAGAGTGATAGAGGAAAAAATTGGATGGAGTGGTAAAATCACCCACAGTATCATGGACAAGACTAACATACCCGCCCCGGCTTTGATCGTGTGCTCAAAAATTTATGGATTTTATATGAATTGACATATCACTTTGGAGTAACGTACCTTTCAAACATCGAAAAATTTTCGCTAATTGATGCAGTAGTCTACTTACCTCAAAATAAAAAAATTAAATTAATACATAAAAAAATTTTTTTAAAGGACTTTCGTAGTTAGTACATTAATTACAAATACGGTAGGTATTTGTAATTAATGTACTAACTACTTAATAAAAAAAATCACAAGAACGTAAACTACTAAACTGCCTTATAATGTGATCCTATGGATGAAGAACGTACTCAAATATTAGAGCTACGCACGCATCATACTTCTGAATACAAATGTTTGCATCGTACGAGGAATCAAACCCGCGACCTACGGAAGGAAGGCGGTGTGCTAAGCCGCTAGACTACCGAGTCGAGTCGAGCAAGATATTTTTAAAGGACGAGCAAGATATTTTTCTTGGTTTGAGTTTAGTTAGTATTGTACATAAATTATCACAAATACCTACCTCTTAATAAAAAAAAACCACAAGGACGTAAACTATTAAACGGCTTTAACTAAAAAAAAAATTGTGAAACACATTTTATTATTTATTTAGTGATGTATACATACGACACGTGTTATATAGTTGAAATAAAATGCGTAGAGTTAGGGACCATCACCAAAAGCCTGAAAACTGTGAATCGAAGGCATCACCCAAAGCGAAACAAGTGCCACCAAGAAACCATCTTAACACTGCAACCCGTCACCATGGCAACCGTAGTTCACTTACCCGTGTTTCAATATAGATCCATTCTGTGCCGGCTTAGAGTACAAATTAAGTAACGACTTTGCAGTTGTAAATCTAAAGAAAACATATACACAATACATTAGAAACTTATAGAAAAATATGAATAGACTAATGAAAATGAAGCTATTCTAAAATACCCAATTTCTGACTATAGTCTGTCAAGTTTGTACATAGCGTTCCTTAGCGAGGAAGAGGGGAAATCTCGAATAGACGCTGTATATTGACAGGAGGGATAACATCGCAAGTTGCTAAGCTTAGGGGGATATTTCGAATGATGATGAATTCTGAAAGCTATTCCACAATTCATCATCATTAATAAAATAATCATCATTAACGAAATACCCCCCCCCCCTCCCCCTCCCGTCTGTTCTAATCTCCTACAGGAATGCTATGCTCAAACTTGGCGTATTATAAATTAAGAATAGTGAATTACTCCCGCCTATTTATATATATTTTTCTGAGCTACATAATGCCACAGATAATATAATATTACATACAGATACCCCATCCCATACAAGAAAATGGTTCCTTCCTAACTCGGGCTATTCTTCGGGCTATTTTATTTCGCCGCCGTAGGCGCTAGATGTCGCTATATCTGAAGCAGTTCGGATTACTAGTGGGTGATTAGTAATAAAGCATGAAAATAGATGGCAGAGAATTCGGTCTACATGACATCTGTTTTGCAAAGATACGTACATAATAGATATATAACTGTATCGAACTCCTGATTGGGTACAATCGAAAATTCAATGTAGGTATAATATTGTTCGCTGACAGTCTACAGACACGGCTAATGTACCTATGTATCTATGTACTATGTTACAGTTACTTTTTTACATGCCTACTTTTTTTCTCCCGACGAAGATATGTCGTAACGCGTCTGCACTAAAATCGGGCTATCGGTTAAGGAGCAATAGCTCCTTAACGAATAGCCCGATTTTAATACGGTTTTTTTTATTTAAATTGTTATGTGATAGTGATAGATTTTAGCTATAATCAATTAATGTGCATATGGGTACCTCATATAATTTTCAGTATATAATTATTTCTCAATATGTAGTTAATTACGGTAAACTGGCAATTTGTAAAACTGAAAATAATATCTGCAAACCATCAATCTGTTATATGTAGGTTCTTTCAGGGATACTACATCGGTGCTAATGACATGTAGGTACTTATTTTGATGTTATACCTATTTGTAGAACCTTCGATATCTACAAACTACGCCTTTACTGCTAGTTTTTTGGTATTTATGTAAGTTGTTATTCAGTTGAAATTAAGCTGCGAAATTACAGGATATTTGGACATAACATCTATGTTCTCCGGAATGATAACGTATGCGGGATATAGCGGGCACGACATGATGACGTAATGCTGTTTAATAATATATACGTAATATTATGTACGTCGGATAGCGTCGTGGTTGGATGGATCGTCAGCTTATTTACCATTTCAGTTCATAATAGTAGGTAGTAACTTTTGACAATATGGATGAGGGAGGGTACCGGTGATGATGATGAGATCAATAATGACTGCTGACGATAGTGACGGTGGTATTTATTTATGACCACCATAAAATTCATCATTGGCAGTATTCTCAACATTATCATAATTGTTCATCATGATGATTGAGATCAAATTAATTAATTGATTAAAAAACTAGCAAGTATTAGGTAGGTACTAAGTCCTTATATGACTTAAATACAAGGTTCTGGGATGCTGTGATATACTACAGTCTCTAGATTTTGTTTCTTATTAGTACTCCACAACCAAAGTCTATAGACAGAGAAATATAGATTTACACAAAGTTTTTTGATGTAAATGGGAATTATTATACACATTGCATTAAAAAATATATATGATTACCATCTAATACAAAATCATTATGTAGTAAATAATTCTTGACATTTTAAATCGAATGAGGTGAAACTAACATTGCATGAACACAACACTTGAAGATCATAATTTTTATTTCAGGTAATAAAACACTTTTAAATAATTTATTAATCACAGAATAAACAATTGTTAATAATTTACAATAATATTTCTTTCACTGCTTGTCTGTTATACCACTAAAACTTCAAACACTTCTGTTATTTTTATATTATATTCCAAATAAATCAATATCAAGACATAATATTTCATCAAAATCATTTCATAATTAATTCCTGGTACACAAAATATTCCTGGATTTGTTGATGAAGCAATATAATAATATTCATGAGCTTAAATCATAAACTTATTTGCAGTCGGTTACACATAATTACTTGGAATTTCTTCTCATCACTAGTCCGTTGCTTTCTTACTTATTTAATTATATTATTAATTGCATTGTGATTAATAATTTACAGATTTTTCTTCTGCTTTTTTCTCTTATTTTTACTTGCATTATTATTTTATACAGTAAAATGTTCATATATATATATATATATATTTCTTATTCTTTTGAACTCCTGTTCTTTACAGTAAAAATGTTATTTATCTTCATCTGAATGACTAGGAGATTTAGAATATCATCTCTTATTTGTTTAAACTTTGTTCAGTATTAAGTTGTTGATGTCAGGAAAATCTGAAAACAATATCATATACCATGTTACATTTTCATGAACTTACATGAATGAATTTACATGAAAGTAACTATACTAAGCTTATTAGCACAATAAACTATTATTCATACATCATATTCATTCAGTTCTAATAAAATATAAAAATAATACTACTGTTTAGTACTTTATTTTGATTAATAATTTTCAGTATTTTCTCAATCAATCAAAAATTATAAAATCAGTGTTAGTTTTTTGAAGTTACATTCATAACAATAATAAAAACATAATAATACCACATTAAAGCGGTCACCAAGTACCTATGTTTATTATATTTTAATATGAAAGATACACACGCATACATATGCAAGTTTTTAACAACTTATAGTTATACCTGGTATGAGATAATCCTCAAAGACACGATAGTTTAATAAATATTTGTAGTAGTCCTTAGACACATTTAAATTATTGAGTTTGACAAAAAACAAAAAATAAGAAGTTCAATGAACTCTGAACAGGAACAATTCAAAAGTTGAAGTACCTACTTAACTTAAATGATGAAAAAAGAGAAAAAATCCAATGCTAGTGAAAATATGTTTTAAGCATTTGACTTAAAGTCGTTTATCCTATTCTTTTATTCCTATATTTTATGTTTTTAACATTTCATTTATGTTGCCAGTACTCGTTGTCATTTCGATATAATAAAAAAATATGGACCAACCTACGATTTTAAATCGATATTTTTATTTGTGATGAAATCTAATAATATAAATTATGAATAACCTACCCTCGAATGGAGATATTAAAAAACTAATTATCATGAATAGTAGGTACTAGGATCAGTAATATATCATAGTATTATGAATGATTATCGTTTCAAAACCTTGTACAATTTAGTAAGGTTGAAAATATCCTTCTACAAAAGCAAAATTCGAGTATTTGTAAAGTTTCTTATGAGTATTTTTAAAAATTCGAGGATCCTCACATTTAGCTACCAATGTCAGTAATTTAGATACCATATAACACTTGTTTATTGAGGTTTCATAAAGGTATAGCTGACCTTATATACTCTATACCACATTCAATTCTCATTCACGTGGCGGCGTTAAGCCGGCTCGGCGAGCGACTTATAGAGTCCTCCTACACGACTCCCTCAGCCGGCTGCTGGCAGCCGGCCTCCGGCCGGCCGGCAGGCCGGCCGGTAAACGAACGACGCTGGGGTGGTATACCCCAGCAGTATGCTCGGGTAAAGAGCGTAAGCTCGGGGCCCGTACCCAGCGGTCCATATAAAGGATCAGCGGACGACCCAATAATAATTCTCATTCATTAAATTACAATAAGTAGGTATTTATTTTTTTTAATAGAAGAACTATGTCACTAATGTCATTAATTGCTATAATTACCAGGGTGACCGCGTGGAGGTTGATATAATAGAGTACACTTGTATCAGATCAATCTAATTAATATTTCCCTCTTCAAGTTTCGAAGTTATGAGCGAACAGATAAATATATAGTACTTGCATACCTGTCAAAATCTCTCTATTTTGCCGTCGTCGAGTAAAAATTATGCATTGCAATTCGTTCCAAATAAGAGTATAATACAAAATGATGAAATTTTACTGTTTGCAAAGACTAATTAAAAGCACCATCGAATAATGTGTTGTAATATCTTGTTATCGATTATTCGAAAAAATCGATAAATCTATGCATTTATTTTTAATATGGCAACACTTTCTAAATAAGTATTACTGGAATAATATGGTTTTCTTGTTTAGCTGTTTTATATTTACTTAAACTTTTTTTATGTTTAATTTATCATAATAATATAGTAAGTACTTATTATTTGAAAATATAAAATAAACATTTAAAATACGGTGATACAAATGAAAACAGCGCCATCTATGAAAGTATTTTGGAAACAATAAGCCCCAATTAGCAATGATTAAATTGTAAACAAATACAGGGCAACAACAAAATGAGTAAATATATGAAAATTACTTTTCAAAACGCATTATTTCATTTTAACATCTATATATGACTTTTTAAAAATAGATTAAACCTTTTTAAAAACATAGTTTTGGGTTTTAAACGATTACAAAACAATGTTGAATTCCATTCGATACCAATGACGCCATCTAAATCCGTTTTTCGAACTAAAAATGGCTACTATGCCATTGATCCCCACTGATAATGCCGATGGGTCTGGATTATTTGATAATCGATTATTTTGTTTTATATTTAAAGTTGTCTTATAAACATAATAATGAAACTACATTTTAAGAAGCCCTATTTTACATATGTAACTGTTTGCAAAAAAGTCTTAAAGTCATAGAATCAAACTTAAAATATTAAAGAGATTTGTAAAAAATTTGGTTTTTAGGTAGATAACACAAACTTCATGAAAAATTATTTAATAGTAAATAAAAAATAGATATTTTTTTAATGCGAAACGATTGGTATTATAAAACTGTTGATTTCATTAATATACGTATTTATAAATTGTCTACTTCTACTTGAGATGATCAAATAACTTTATGGTATTTTTTTCCGAATGACTTATATTTTTGGATTGCTTAAAATTACGTTTATTTGTACACTTACAATAGTAAGATAAGATGTTATTGGATAAATTGGACAATATTAATAACAATTATTAAAGTTTAGAACATTTTGTGCGACATTTTTCGAAAGCCCGAGTAGAGGTTAGTGAACAAAAGTATCTGTTCTTGAAATCAGGTTTTACAAATGCTGGCGCCAAACTTGGCATCAGATACATAATTGTCTTGTTTTTTTTCGGACTACTCTAATGCTGTTGGCCGCAGCTGGCCTTTACAGCTTCACTGGACGATAGGGGGCGAGTGCAGATGGCACTCCAAACCCGCGGTAGGACTTATGGAGCGGCTGAAGGCCAACACCCGCCTGACGGATACGACTTTAGTCTGAGGGCATCGCTAGGGGTACGAACCTCAGCTCAGGCCGTCGTAATTCACTCCAAACCCGCGGTAGGACTTATGGAGCGGCTGAAGGTCAACTCCCGCCTGACGGATACGACTTTAGTCTGAGGGCACCGCTAGGGGTACGAACCTCAGCTCAGGCCGTCGTAATTCACTCCAAACCCGCGGTAGGACTTATGGAGCGGCTGAAGGTCAACTCCCGCCTGACGGATACGACTTTAGTCTGAGGGCACCGCTAGGGGTACGAACCTCTGCTCAGGCCGTCGTAATTCACTCCAAACCCGCGGTAGGACTTATGGAGCGGCTGAAGGCCAACTCCCGCCTGACGGATACGACTTTAGTCTGACGGCACCGCTAGGGGTACGAACCTCTGCTCAGGCCGTCGTAATTTCGATCCCCATCTGAATTCAATAGTACAGGGGATCTATATGTTTATAAGTTTGATAAATGTATTTGAGTTTGGATCACATGCTGAGAGTTTGAAGAAATATTTTGTTTGCACCGTCCAATGTCGGTTCAAGTCGGTTGTTGAACGCACGCCAAAGCGTTCAAAGTTCAACTAAGTAGAGCGAATTAGCGTAAAGTATACAAGTAATTAGAGTTAACTAACTATGGACTAACGTAATCTTGTGAGCATTGAGTCACAGTAAGCTAACATATTTGCAAAGTGTTGTAACTGACTAATCAGAAATGTCTTTATATTTTAATGTAGCTGTGCCCGCGTCTTCGTATTTAAGTTCATAGTTCTGTTCTTGAACAGTTTTTTTTTAACTTTCTTCTTGATAATCCTTTAAATAAATATACTGACCCCTAGTATTTTTTTTATATTATATCTAAATATATATAACTCAAAGGTGACTGACATAGTGATCTATCAACGCACAGCCCAAACCACTGGACGGATTGGGCTGAAATTTGGCATACAGGAAGATGTTATGACGTAGGCATCCGTTAAGAAAGGATTTTGATTAATTCTATCCCCAAGGGGATAAAATAAGGGATGAAAGTTTGTATGAAACTTCGTCAATTTTAAACCGATCGGACTGAGACTTTGCATGCATAAAGCTACTATGACGTAGGCATAACCATAGAAAGGATTTTGATAAATTCCACCCTTAAGGGGATAAACTCACGCGAACAAAGCCGCGGGCAAAAGTTAGTGTATCATTTAAGCCAACCTTTGTTAAAATATATTCAGAAAGGACCTCTAACGTCTGTTCAAACTTTTTAAGCTATGTTTGGCATAGTGCAAGTGGTCTCAAAGACATATCGGCAATTACGCTGGTGATTGTGCATTATATTTAAATGTGTTAGCGGCGTGCTTATAATAATATGTGCTTTAAGAATACTTATAGTGTTGCTTTCAACAATACAGTTGTAGATCTCACCTTTTTAAGTTCAACGATGCGACCTTCGTCGAGCTATAAACTATGCACACTACTCAAGCCACTTCGATCTTACTACAGAAGTCTTTCTACCAAAAAGATATTCCTACTAATTTCCTACATAAAAAAATATAATAATAACGAGATCCTAAGGAGAAATAAATCCTTAATAGATATCTTAGATATTATACGAATTTATATATATAAAGTAAATATATAGGCAAACTTAACTAAAACCATAGACAAAGTTTTGTAGAAGACAATTATTTATTTAAAGTATATTTGCCGATATTTTATAAATATTACTATGACTGTCTATAGTAATATTTTGATGAGTTTTATTTAGTAATGTTACCTTTTTTTTACATATAAATACACAGATAATCAATTATGTTGATATCAGAAACTGGGTATGACATTATTCTATAAACTTACATGAAATTAAAATAGAAGATGTATGATGAACAAGAAAAGTAGATCAACGATTATTTGTATAAATAACACAGACTTACAAACATTAACAAACAACAATAATGTATTTTTGTTGTTTTTTGAAAACAACAAAAAACTATGAAAACTTTTGTACATTTGGCAATTCTTAACATTCAAGAGTTACAAAATAGTGCTGGATAATTAAAGCTTTATTCAGCAGAGAAGAGCAGAAAGGAAAATGAAGATGAAGTAGGTTCATAGTCTTTATGAATTAAACTTAATCTATAATTATTATTGAATCAAATTAAATGTAAATATCGTTACTCGTATAGGTCTATTACAGACTCTTATGATATGTTAAATCTACCGTTAGTTCGGAATGCTTCGAACTAAGAACTAATAAGCTGAGTTTCAGCTCTTTTCAAACGATCTTTGTTCATAATTGGTTCATTTTTATATTCAACCAAATCAAATATATGCTACTGAAAAAAAAAGTAAATATTAATTCTAAATGTTATTGCAGTAAGATTTAGCAAATGTATTTAAATATAACCTTAATATAAAAACCGTATTAACAATTAACATACATTTTGTTTTATTTGTTACTCTTTTGTTTTTTAATTAAATCCTAGACTAAGTAATTAAAATAATACGGTTGATCTACTTTACTTGTTCATTGGAATGGTAGAAACTATAGTTGTGTAAAATGACACACTAATTAGACTTGATAGATAAGAGTAATGCGGAGAGGAAATAAACGGTGATATTGAATATTTTATTGCATCTAATCATACGTTTAATTCGTAGAATACATGCTTTCAATTAAAATCCGATTTTATTGCATATTAAACTAACAGTAGTCAGTTTTAAGGAATGATTTTTAAAACATATTATTCTCAAAGACATCTAATACTGTTACATTTGGACGTAATTTACAGCGACGTTTGACATTTCTTTAATGAATATTTTCCAATGAAAATTGTTTTTTATCATGTTATTACTTTCATTCCTTAACTTGTTTTTTAACAATGCGAAAAAAATATAAGATTAAAAAAAAACATAAATCATATTAAAATAAGTTGAATCATATTAACAAATAGTTGAAGAAATCAACATCTACTTTTTTTTTAGTTTTGTTTCTCTCATTATAGTAAAAGGCAAAAGTACTCAGCCCATACAGCCATTGCCTTCGGTACTTTAGATATTTTTTTATCATTATGTCGTGAAATCAGTCACAGAATACATATTCCGTAATGTAAAGTGTATTTACGTGCATGTGTTTTTACCATATCCATTTAAAAATGCATTAAGTAAAATAAGCGCAATATAGAATGGCTGTGATAATCAATTATCATGTCATAGTGCTGTATGGAGCAGTACAAAATAAATACGGCCGCCATTTTGAATGCTAAAAAGCCGCGAAAATTATTTTAAATTTAGAATTCGAATTTTAAAAAATAACAATTTTATTTTGTGCGACTTCACTAGTTATTTATTTCCCCTGCTCGTTGCTCTCTTTAATATAACATTTACTAACCTGCTATTGCTAATTAAACCGTGTGCACCGAAGTCTCCTGTGGAACTCCATCTTTTTGTGAGGCTGTTAACTGCTGGCGACGCGCTCTGGTTGCTTGACGTCGAGTTATTCCGCGATCTGAGCACATTCACACTTGTAGCTTCTATATTTTCTAATACATTACATAAGAACTTGCAAAAGAGAGCAGAAAGAAGAAAGAAGAATTGCCTTATGCGAAGACTGAGTTCTTGAAACTGACATTTCACAACAGATGGTCTATATAATAGAAGAAACTGATAGACAAAATAGCAACGATACACATGTGCTAATAGAATATTCGAGAACACAGAACGAAAAGAAGTACAATATAAAATATACTAAGAAGTAGGAACATATTTTGTAAATGCGAGGAAAACTATTATAATAAAACTTCGACGGGCAATAACTTATAGTCGACTTGTCTCCTTTACATCTCTTCTACGGAATATAGTTAAATTTAGCGTAATGGCGCTGCCATAGAGCAATATAAAACGTAACTAAAAAAGATGACATCATCTATAAAACATCTGTGAGATAAATCTATAATTTCTTATAACAAATCAAATCAAAATGATTTATTCATGTGGAACTTTTTAGCAACCGATAAACTTTAAATTTGTGGTTTTAATATTATTTGTCTACCGTCCAGTTCAATACACTAATACAATTGAGAAGAACTGGCAAGAAACTAAACTGAATACTTTAAGTGATAAATTAATTTATTTTATTATAATAATTCGTATTCACACATTTCAACTAAAACATGTAAAGTTATCATAAAAACAGCAGCACTCAAGTTTCTTGCACGTTCATCTTGTCATGAGACAGCTTTATGTATGAACAGTAAATTAAAAAAAGTAATATCTATTCAAAAGTGTTTAAATTTAAGATTATTTGAATAAAGAACTTTCTATTCTATTCTATATATGAAATTTATTAACTGCTCTATGGCAGCACCATAAACCACAATTTTTTTAAACTAATCTACTTCCCGACTTTAACAACACAAACACAAATCTACCTACAAAACATAGACTTCCACAGACTACTTTCAATTGACACCTTTGCAATTTCATAGTACGTGTGCCCTTGAAATATCATTCATGCATTAGAGAACGTTATAAACTATACATTATAGTGATACAGTGATTGATAATTGTTACTCATCAGATACAGTTAAATATTAGTTACGACATTCACAACAAAAATATAAAAACAAATAAACACCTACATGCAAGATTTATCAATCCGGCCATAAGAGATTATTAAATTCAATCTGGACCATCAATAGGCCATCTTTGAGATTGCCAGTAATGAATATCACTTAATATTATTATTAGACGATAGATATTTGCTGTCATTTTTGCCTTAGTGAGAATTAAATAAATAAATAAATAACCCTGGATAATTAACACAGCGCCATCTACATACATACGTACAACAAGACGTAGAGAGCGGCTCCACCCCTACACTATTGACATCCCAGCTGCTCGAACTAACCGTTTTGCATCATCTTTCCTTATGCGAGCAGCTAAGGAGTGGAACTCTCTACCAGCGTCTATTTTTCCTGCCTCTTACAACATTGGGTCTTTTAAGTCAAGAGTGAATAGGTATTATTTGAGCTTGCGTGTAACAGCTTAGACCACATCATCACTTAACATCAGGTGAGATTGCGGTCAAACGCGCTCAAATTATGATAATTATAAAAAAAAAAATCTAGCAACAAGTTAGCTAACTTGCCAGCTAAAGCTTGTTTTATGGGCCCTATATAACTGATACAAATACATACATATTTTTTTTCGTAAATACATACATATTTTATATAGAAAACATCCAGACTGTTACAAACAATCATACTCATGAATACAAATGCTTGTGCCGTGCGAGGAATCGAACCCGAAACCATCGGAAGTGAGGCGGTGTGCTACACCACTAGACCACCGAGACTGTCTTAAAGAAGTGTACCAAAAGTGGTAACTGGTAATTTTAATGTAAACAGAAATTCTTAATTGACAGATAACAAAATATCAATGCAATACTAACTATACTAATTTCTCAGTTTGCCTTATGGTTGACTGGTACATAACGCTCTTTGGTGTTAAGTTCACCGTATGTATTTTTATATATTGTATTTGTGTATTAAATATTAAATATATAAAATAACTATGCTTGTTGACTTAACAAAATTTACTGTTTAAGTTACTATTATGTTTTAGACTTTGTATCACACAATTTGTGTGGGACTGTGTGTAGGGCGCTTGGGTTGGTGCAGCCAACGATGGTGGTATTTAAAGGCGTAATATGAATGTATATTACAAAAACACTAGCTGTACCGGCAAACGTTGTTTTGCCTTAAAATTAAAAAAAAAAATTTTGGGTGGACTACCCCTAACATTTAGGGGGATGAAAAATAGATGTTGGCCGATTCTCAGACCTACTCAATATGCTCACAAAATTTCATGAGAATCGGTCAAGCCGTTTCGGAGGAGTATGGGAACGAAAACTGTGACACGAGAATTTTATATATAAGATATGTCGCAACAAACTTTGTAACAGAAGGCAAGAGCAATAACAAAACTATGCTAATAGCGATTGCGGGGAAACCATAAAAATAGAAGGAAAAAAAACTTAGAAAAAAAAAACATTATGCAATAAATTGGCTGCTAGTTAAATGTAAAACTAATCAAAAGAGGGAGAACAAATAGAAAAATCATTTTAAGGCAATAATGACAGCAAAATTATTGTGGTTAACTTCACTTCAGGTTTTTAGTGTTATTTGAAACTATTATTAATATAGTTAAACCGGTTTTGACACGAATAAATTTATGGTAAATAAAGGTATTTTATTTACCGAGGTAAAGAAACACGAGTGTTAAAACCTTTTTAACTGCATTAATAACGCGAATATGTTTTTTTTAAACTAGTTAGTACCTATACGCTTGGCTTTGATGTGGTGTGTGTAACGGTGCTGGGGTGGCTCTCGGAGACGGTGATGGTGCTGGTGATAAGGATGATGATGACGCCGGTGAATCTGATTGTAGTGACCCCGTTGATTGGTGTTGAGGTCCGCGTCTGAAAAGAAAAGGCGGGATATTGCAATTTGAGGCTGTACTTTCAAGTTGATTGTCAGATCATTAAGTATTTTTCATATGTTGTTATAATATTTGTGTATTTATATAATTATGTAAGTATTATTTTGATACCAGTTAATATATATTTTGTATTATTGTATTAATATGACATTTTTTATGGACTCATATGGACTACTCTAATGATGTTGGCCGCAGCTGGCCTTTACAGCTTTACGGGAGGATTGGGGGGTGCTGATGGCACTCGCGGAAGGACTTGGAGCGGCTGAAGCCGAACTTCTGACGGGTTTATATTAGTGCCCCGGCAATTATATTTCTCCCTACCACTCATTGTTGACTGGTATTATCTAAAAGACAACACTGAGCAGCAAAGTGTAGTTAAATTTAGCGTAATGGCGCTGCCATAGAGCAATTATACAACGTAACTAAAAAAGATGACATCATCTATAAAACATCTGTGAGATAAATCTTCTATAATTTCTTATAACAAATCAAATCAAATCAAAAATGATTTATTCAAGTAGAACTTTTTAGCCACCACCACTTTAAAATTGTGGTTTTAATATTATTTCTCTACCGTCCAGTTCAATACACTAATACAATTGAGAAGAACTGGCAAGAAACTAAATTGAATACTTATAAAATATTGACTATTAAGTGATAAATTTATTTATTTTATTATAATAATTCGTATTCATACATTTCAACTTAAACATGTAAAGTTATTATAAAAACAGCAGCACTCAAGTTTCTTGCACATTCATCTTGTCATGAGACAGCTTTATGTATGAACAGTAAATTAAAAAAAAGTAATATCTATTCAAAAGTGTTTAAATTTAAGATTATTTGAATAAAGAATATTCTATTCTATAAATGAAATTTATTAACTGCTCTGTGGCAGCACTATAAACCACAACATATTTAAACTAATCTACTTCCCGACTTTACAGCTTTACGGGAGGATTGGGGGGTGCAGATGGCACTCGCGGAAGGACTTATGGAACGGCTGAAGCCCAACTTCTGACGGGTTTATATTAGTGCCCTGGCAATTATATTTCTCCCCACCACTCATTGTTGACTGGTATTATCTAAAAGACAACAATGACCCGCAAATTGGTAAGTCATTCATGTATATTCAAATTTGTGCATTGAAGTTAGAAAGTTATTCTGTGCAGTTTCATGAACATTGAAAACTGAAGCTGCAAAAGTTATGATGCTGATTTACAGACAGATAAACAGACAATTGTGACGTGTGTGACAAAATTATAACTATATTTCTTGTTAGTATGTACCAACTAATGTTTTAGGTAAATATATCATGGCGAGACGATACACAAAATGTGGCAAACAGTGGCAAGTGTAACAAATAAAAAAAATTGCTATTCTTTAAAATAATTATGCGCAAACTGTTTTTCTAATTCTATTCTCATTATTTCTGATTTATACCTTTTTAATATATGTAAAACTGGCTCTTTTGCGCACTCGTACCTAGTGAGGGCTTTAGCTGAAAATCAGTACATGCGTCATGGGAAATATTGTATGTGTTGAGGTTTAAAAAAAAATTATCTGTTTGTTTCTCATGACTATACGGTTGAAAGGATATTAATAACACGATGACAGATTGATGATAGATCGTGGAAGGTGGCGGGAGCTCCACCGACAAGAACACAGCTCTTAAATAATGAATGAATGAATGAATGACAGATTGTATCACGAAGCCTCTTAAATTAAGCCTATGTCCGAACATACGCTATAAATCTAGCAGGGGTGAAATAGGGGTGAAAATTTATGGAATCAAAGTCGCGGCTGACAACTAGTACCCTATAAATTTAAATGACTAGTGGTATTAATCAAATGGAGGATATGGATATCACAGTAATTATTTAATTTTTATTTAGTTTTTTTTTTATTAGTGGTACTTAAGCTATATATAATGGAATTGACATGTTTGGTAACAAAAACTTCAACATAAAAAAAATAGATATGGGGCCGTTCAAGTATTACGTAAGCAGATTTATTACAATTATCCCCCCCCCCCCCAGCAGCGTCTTACTCCCACCCCCATGCTTACGTAAACATTTTTCAATTAATGTATTGTTTTTTAGCAATATTACGATTGCAATTCGTGTATCATTTTTGTCATGATTGTGTTCGTGTCATCCGTCATACTCGTGAACGAGTGCTGCTTGTAAGGCCTGGTCTGCTCTTATCACTACGACTGATTTAATCTTATTGTATATTTATATTTGACCCAAAAAATTAGTGCTGGTTGGTAGTTTGTATTCACACGTTTCGACTTGTAAATGTAAACTTAGAAGGCTTATTTAAAAGAGCAACACACAAGTTTCTTGCTCGCTCTTCTTGTGATAAGACAGCTTTCCGAACGAGTGGTAGATAAAAAACAAATTATTATGACTGTTCAAAAGTGCTTAAATTAAGTTTATTTGAATAAATGACTTTCTATTCTATTCTATTCTGTAAAATAGTAAATGACTGCCGATGACGTAATCATCGTCTAGACTCCCCCACCCCCTATATCATCCAAAATAAGCAAAGCACAGACCCCCTGCTCCCCCATACTGTTCGTAATACTTGAACGACACCTTTGACAATTATTTTTAATTAGTGATTCTTAGATTACATATAATGTGGTTGAAACGTTTAGTAACGAAAACTCCAACATCAATTTATATAACAAAAAATGGATATCACTATTACTGTGATAACTTTATTTTTTCGGTCTATTCTACTGCTGTTGGCCGCAGCTGGCCTTTACAGCTTCACAGGACGATAGGGGGCGAGTACAGATGGCACTTCAAACCCGTGGAAGGATATATGGAGCGGTTGAAGGCCAACTCCCGCCTGACGGACACGATTTTAGTCTCAGCCACAGCTAGGGGTTCGAACCTCGGCTCAGGCCGTCGTAATTTCGATCCCTGTTTGAATTGGAAGGGGGATCGATCGGAGGGGGAAAGGAAAGGGGGACTGTGATAACTACGAGACACATCCTCTTATCATCACATCACATTTCACCAGAAGTAAAAGAGTATCTATAGTACCTTTGAGGTAGAGAGGATGCGCTGGAACCGTAACTGGACGTTCTCTTGGCCGTCTCCCGGTACGTGGGTTGACGGAGTCGAAGCTCACGCGCTGAAGCCCCAGATGACCCTATAATTGAAACATATCATATATTTACCAAAGGATATATAGGACTGGAATAAAAAAATGTAATAATTACAAATTATAATAATATCAGGACAATTCACACTGATCTATATTGTCTCAAGGTAAGCAGAGCTTGTGTTATGGGTACTAGTCAACCAATATAAGATGCACTTGTTTTTGTAAATACATACATATTAATAATACTATTAACACGAAAGTTTGTAAGTATGGATGTTTGTTACTCTTTCACACTAAAACTACTGAACGGATTTTGATGACACTTTATAATATAGCTTATGCATCAGAATAACACATAGGCTATATTTTATATCGAAATTTAAAGTGGGTGAAACCGCGGGCACAGCTAGTATTTTATATAGAAAACACCACTACTAATACAAACAATCATGTTTGTACCGTGCGAGGAATCAAACCCGCGAGCGTCGGAGTAAGGCGGTATGGTAAACCGGTAGACCACCGAGGCCTTCGAATTTCGGTAATGCCTCTTACTATCGTGTACATATCTTAAATTAATACGTACATATATATCAATAATAATTAATAAGGTTGCTAGATTAAAAGTAAAAAAGTAAAAAACATGAAATCAAAAGTCACTGGTCATTATATAACAGTCTCTATAACCTGTTACCGAATTCTTAAGAGCAAATATTGCAAGATGCATATTTAATGTACTTTTTCCAAACAGATACATTTTTTTCCAATTACCTTTTCGGAATTTTTCGAAAGCTTTACTTTCAAATTCACATAACCAGAGTAATAATTTATTACGTAAATATGAATATTCAAAAATTTTGAGAGTTTTGTAATTTGGCAAATGTCTTTTGATATATTTTTTTAATGTACTTTACAAATATTAATTGGTTTTTCTATACGTATATTAATATATTAACTTAGTTGGCGTTCTGTGAATTATTATGTTCATTTATACCCACTGGTCGAAATTCCATATTAATTTAAATTATAAGTTTGAACATTATTAAAGTTCTATTGTCAAAGACTGTATTTCTGTACGTGTGTATTAAATACATGAGTGTGTGTGTAATATTTCATTGATTTAATGTATTTTTATGCATAATTAAAAAAAAACCTAATAGTATCATTCTGTACTCCTTCTCTATATAAATTAAACTATAAGTGTGCGAAATTTCATTACGTACGAGCAATTTTAGTAAAAAGGAGTACAAAGTTTCTGCTTCAACTATTTATATATAGATAGGTTAGAGTAGTAACATGTAAGAATTAAAATACACAAGATTCAACTTCATTATGTGTGTTAACTCTCACCACAGTCCACACATCATGTCATCACATTGTACTAAAATGGCGACAAAGTTTTTACTTCACGTAATAATAGAATCGTTGTAGGCCTTTGTTCAGTAGTGGACGTCTTCCGGACTGAAATGATGATAATGATTAATATAATGTTATTCACCTGTATATGACCCGTTTCTTTGGCCAGCCGCTGCAACTCCAGGCGCCCTGCCTTCCAAGGCGTTGAGTCTCCGCAGGGCGTCAGCGAGGGTGGACCGCAGACAGAGGAGCTCTTCGGCCTGCCGCCCGCACCGCAGCTCCAGCTCGGCGACCCGAGCCGCCAGCCCGGCGCCCTCTCCTTCTAGCATCTCATCTGGAATTAAGATAGAAATAAATATTATATAATCTGAAGAAACCATTTTTACCTACCGGTCAAGAAGTTTTTGTTGACGACCCGTTTGGCAGCAATAATATATAATAAAATAATCTATCTTACTCAATATTGGATGAATGTTTGTTATTCTTTCACGCTAAAATATCTTGAAAGGATTTTGATAAAACTTTACAGTAATACAGCTTATTGTACATCAGCATAAGACAGGCTATAATTAAAAAAAAATATTATGTAAATTGGACGAACTATAATGATAAATGTCAAGTAAGTGTGATGCAAACGAAGTTGCGTGGGACAGCTAGTAATATATAATATTCTCGTGTACATAACAAAACTCCACAGAAACTTATTCGGAAGATTATTCTGAAATGTTGTGTGTATATTCAGTAGGTATGAGAAAAGGAAGTAAAGTATTGTTCACATCCTTAAACGATGAGGATGGTCCACATGAACAAATTGGCGCCTAGACATCATTGTGGTCAATTACTCGCAAATACTGGCCTATTTGACCTTCATCCTATCATCTTCTTCTAGTACCCAGCCAGCGTACACCGTTAGCGCAGGCGTGTACACCATTCCATTATCATACATTAAAAATATTAAGTTTAATACTTTTTTTTCATACAACATATATTGGGCTTTGTTTGACTTACGTGAGACAAGAAATGCGTGCGTGAGAATTAAAAATAAAACTGGCTAATGGTAACAGCAAATTTTAGCATGTATCATAACTTGAGAATTCTCATTACCAGTGAATTATCGCTGATGAAGTAGCTGACCTCTTAAAAGTGTTTAAATGTAAATTTATTTGAATAAATAATTTTCTATTTTTTTTATACTATGTTGGTGGTAATAAAGCATACGGTACCATCAGATGGTAAATGGTTACCGTAGCATATGGACGCCTGAGACACCGGAGTGTCACCTGCGCGTTGCCGACCTCAATATACCCTTCTTGAAAAACCCAACGCTAGTCTCGTGAGAAAATCTCGGCAGGTAATTCATTCCACAATATATGTTAAGTGTAAACCTAAAAAATTACCTCCTGGTAACTGATACATGTGATCTTCCACTGAACTTCTGGTATTCGGCAGACCGTTAGCACACGCAGAAACATCATTACCAATTAAAAAAAGCTAAACGTTTCCATTTGCAGACTGCATACTGTACAAATTCCTGACCACACACTGTCCTATGTTGCAAATTTGCAATACAAGTAATGTGATTGCTTTATTTTCAGGTCACGCGTTTATGAGAACAGTTTGCAAATTTCTTCGTACTTGTGTTGACATACTATTGTGTCTCACACAATGCATGCATCGAAGTGACTATGTGTACACATATGTAAGACTGAATAAGATCGTGCATGGCATGCACATCACTGTGTTCCGTGACCATTTCAGCTGACGCTGTTTGTGACAATATTGTGGCATTGTCACAAAGTGTCCATAGTTACTCAATGCTCCACTCTAACAGGTTTTGTTATTCCATTAACATCTTATTAATATTGTTATTTATCTTTTTATTTGATCGAACTGCTAAAGGTACCCTAAAGGTATAATTATCGTGGTATAGGTATTATCTTTAGCAGTTCGATCAAATAAAATTTATTTACAAGATTTGCAGGAAAACAAACATATTAATAATGTTTTTTTTTATAAAAAATATTTATCAAAACTACTTAATTCAAAAAACTTTTCGAATTTTAAATTCAGACAGTAATGAATTATTTGTCAGTTCTTGACTCGAAACTACATTCTGACCTGTACTGTCTGTAATAGTTCATGAATAAAGATATTTTGATTAGATAAATCAAATTTAATAATTTCAATAATATCTACACAAAAACATAATCAACCACGAAAACCTGTATTTTCTCAAAACAGTATTCTAATTCTCATCTAAAGCTAGGGTTGCCATGTATAAAATTTGTGTAAACCCCGGATTTTAAAGTCAGAACCCGGACATATCAACAGGTTGTTTAAACATAGTGTAATAAATAAAAAATTAAAAAATGTCACAGATACAATGTAGTAATTTTAAATGTACCTAACAAAATAGAATCTTATTACAGTTTGTTACAAATTGTCAATATTTTTTGTTCTTAAAATAAAACACAAATTATTAATATACTTTAATATTAAACCTAAAAAAATTACATTATCCCGGACACTCCCCGGATGCCCTTTAAACTACGGCCAATCCGGGGAAAGAATACGAGCTGAGTTTCTTGTCAGTTCTTCTCATCTCGAAATAATTCCGTACTGACGGTAGACGGTAGACCTACATGAATAAAGATATTTTGAATTTTGAAACCCGGACGGATGGCAACCCTATCTAAAGCGGATGTCGATACAAAACAAACTTACGCCAAGCTGCGTACACGTCATTCATGGTGTCGCCAGGAGAGTCGCTCGCCCTTGAACTTCTAGACTCTCTGTCTGTTTGACCCTCCATCTTGTTTACACTATCACAACACTATGGCTCACTATGACATATCACCATTGACGCGTGTTATAAAAGTTACTTGCACAATTTTACTGTTATATGTGCATATTAACACTTATGGTGAAAATTCTCTGGCACTAACCTCACTATGGCGGAAAGAGATTGTTAGAAATAAATGCTACTTGTAGTAACAATATTATATTCGTGGTGGTCTATCGGTATAGCACATCTCTTTACTTCGTGGGTTCGATTCCTCGCACGATACAAACATTTCTATTCATGAGTATGATTGTTTGTATCTGTCTGAGTGTTTTCTATGTATATTATGTATGTGTTTACAAAAAAATATCTAAAATTTTACTTTTTTTTATCCCTGCACAGTTTACACAGCGCTTCTAGTTCCAAGCTAAGCAAAGCTTGTGCTATGGATACTAGAAAACTGATACAAATACATAGATACCTTGTCTTTTATAAATACATACATAATATATATAGAGAACATCCAGACCGACACAAACAATGATACTCATGAATTCAAGTGTTGGTACCGAGCGAGGAATCGAACCCGCGACCATCGGAAATGAAGAGGCGTGCTAAACCGCTAGACCACCGAGACTGTCAAGTACATCAGTTTTATAGTACACATAACACAAGCTCAGCTTAGCTTGGGACTAGATGACGATGTGTGAATTGTCTAGAGTTATTATTATTAACATTTATTATGAAAAATGTCTAGCACTAAATGATGTCCATGCAAAATAGTGTAATTCGTTTAAATGATCTCTGGACAACCTCGATTAGCGTAATGGTATACACGATAAAACTAACCGCTGTTACATTACATAGATCGACAGAATTTAGTGTCTGTTTTACTTAACAATACAGAAATGCAAATAACTTTCAATGAAGGTTAACTTAAGATCAGAAAATACAATTATTATCACTTCTTTGCCTAACTATTGTATACAGATGTACAATTTTCTTGCTATTATTATAAACGCGAAAGTTTGTGAGTATGCATGGATAGATTGTCGTTTGTTACTCTTTCACACAAAAACTACTGTACGGATTCTGAAGAAACTTTATAGTAATATAGGTTATACATCAGAATAACGCACTGGCATTATGTAAATTGGGAGAAATATGATGAATAATATATAAAGCAAAGTTGCTGTTTTCATATCTGTTTAAAACAAATATACCTAAAGACCATGCAATAAAAACAAATAAATATTACGAACTAATAAACGAATTAACAAAAAATGCTATATGGTTAATTTATTTGCGGTTGAATTGGGAGCGAGAGGATGCGATGGAAAATAGTTTCTGGAAAAACTGACGGTAGAGGACTGCTATTCATCCAGAGGATCAGGACGGTATTTTAGTGTCTACCTAAGAAATGGAAGAAACGTATAAAGGAACCGTTAATCTACAAATAGGTATATCGACTTAGTTTATGCAAATGCTGCGAGATGGCAACTGTATACCGTTAGTTGTGAATTCCTTTCCATTCCACGCTCGGGAGTGTGATATGAAACATGTTTTGCCACTGTTGTCTCCATTTTGAAGTAAATTGGATATTGATTAGTTTTAACCAATTGATTTTTTGTTTAATTTTATTTTCTTTGTATAACTGTAATACTAACACAATAATCCGTATTACACAAAAAAATCTTCTTAAACATAGTCTTTTTAAACATATAACAGTAGGGGTAAGGAAATTGTTAGTAATAAGGACTGATGACTCCTTTACTAGCAGTGTACCATGTAACTCCCATGTACTGCCATGGTTGAACTCCACGCGGTTCCCCCTGGAAACCATTGTGACAAAATCCTAATGAATTTACCACGATGGTCTAATTGACCTGACCTTATGCTCATCCTACCATCCTCCACTGGTTCCCCACCGACGTATAACGTTAGCCCATGCGGGTGAACCATTCCATTAAAAAAAACGTACTCGTAACATTGGTAGCCAATGTCAAGATGTCGCTTAATTGCGATTATTTATGAACGTGTCAGGTTGTTAAAGCCCTTTATGATTTGAGTTTACGACACCGCGCATCGGTGTTTAAACAACAATTACGGTTGTGTAACAAGCGTTGGTTTTCTTATAAGATTGTCATTATGTACAGTCAGTTAGGGCAAGTGTTACATTCGAGAATTAAAAAAGTACAAGTAAGTCACCATTTGGAATACAAAGTTTGGTTTTATTTATTTCAATACACGTGTATTTTATTTTATTTTTGTATACCTTTATTACTTGTATATTTATTTGAATTGATTTTTTTTTCTATAGATGATAATGGAATAGTGCTCCCGCCTGCGCTAGCGGTTTACGCTGGAGGAGCACCAGTAGAGGATGATAAGATGAGTATGAGGTCAGGTCAGTTAGCCCATTGTTGTAAATTCACCATGAATTTATCACACTGGTTATGTTGCTCTTTCAACACATGGAGATCAACCTTACAGGGTACATTGCTAGCAATGGTATTTTTAGCCCATATTACTAACTATCCACTTGCTCCCCG